CTCATTCTGGATCTGAGCTTCGATTTCTGCTCTCGCCTGGGTGCCTGGCACGTGTACGTCGATAGTATCACTATCGGGTGGCATTTTGATTACTAATCCACCTGGTCTGTGTGTTTTTCGGTGAAAAATAAGACGTGTCTAAAGTGATCACTTTAACAGCCTATAGCTCCACAGCGCGTGGCGTGCACGCTTTAAAGGTGATTGTAATCGATTTCTCGCGAGGGGTTTATATATATTTGACTAAAATTACACCTATTCTAGAAAACTCGAAGTTGTCTGTGTTTTGTATGTCTGTCGTTCATTATTCATGTATGTTTTTATTTATTCTATCTACAGGGTACTACATCAAACATGGGTTAAACACATCCCTCATATACAGAAAGAATCGAATTGAGATGTTGAGAAGAAAACTATTTAGCATTACATGGTAGCTTGACAAACGCTATTCACTCCTTATGCTGGTATGTACCTAGACGCAATAAGGAAATACTCGATCCTTGGGCCTGCTGCCCACCACTACATCGTCCTTACATTACAACGCAGGCCAATGCTGCAATGAGCTGACCAGCTGCCAAAGTGGTACCTATAACGCCTATTGTTGTTGCCCCTCGTGTTTGGGTTGTGTATCTTCTGCTTAGTCTTTGTCCGATTCGTATAGAAAGTGCTTGCCGTTCTTTTTCAAGATCTTGCATCCTTAGTGCCACATTCTCCTGGGATGTGATGCTAGAAAATGTGTCGCTGCTGGAGGTTCTCGATGTCTCGCTCAATGGGGGTATCGATTTATGTATGCTGGTCGTTGCAACATTTTCACCGTCTCCCTTGTAGCTATTTTCCCGCTCAAATTGCTGCTCGATATTTTGTGCAGCCAAGAGGAGACTTTGATCATCTCGGTTTATGATTTTCTCCCACTTTTCCCGGATACCTCCAAACGCTGCTTTTGTGCACTCCATGTCTTCTTCTACCAACCGGATATCTCCAGCCATCTCGGATGTGGATTGACTAAGCTCGCGCAATGCCTCTCTTCGTCCAGTACTAACAATCTCGTCCATTCGTCTATGAGCCTCGTCTGCCATGATCTGTAATGACTGATAACGTTGATTCAGATCGTCATACAGCAACTGCCCGGCTTCTGTCTCATACATCAGTCGGTTCTCATCTACTAACTGCCGCTGGAATTCCAGGGTAAGCCTTCGATTCTTTTGAACGATATGATGAAGAATCTTTACGGCGTCTATCTCGACAGCTGACAGTCTGACTAGTTTACCACCACGTTCAATAATATCAGAGCGAATCTTCTCGTAGAAATCTTCATGCCTCTTTTCGGCCTTTGCTAGGTCTTCCATAGAGACCATGTCCCACATCGTTGTTGCAAGGATCACTCCCTTGAATGCTTCTGTGCCACACATCTTCTTGAAAACATTTAATGCTCGTACGGCGGTGCCTGGAAGACGGTTGTTCGTGATACAATGGAGATAGATGATACCGCTAAGTCTGATGTCTCTTTCATAGGCAGCTGTTAACCAATACGCTAATTCCTGTAATACTTTGCTGTCAGACTGCCGACTGTCATTGAACCCGGGTGTGTCCAAGAGATGCACAGTATGGCCTCCAATTACGGTGGTATGTATGGACACCCGACTAGTGCCTACTTCGTGTTAATTCCTGTTGTATGACGAGTACGAGTTCTTGGATCTTACAGGAGAATAATCCATCGCTCGAAAGGCGTTCTGGCGGTTTGGTACAATGCTCAATGAAACTAGACTTCCCAGCACCAGTCATCCCCATAACTGCTATGAAGATGTCATCTGGGCTATTTGATCTTCATAAGCCTCTGTTCTGTAATCAATATGAATGGCATACCTGATAGCCTGTGAGCCATGATCTAACATAGCAGTGTTCAAAGTAAAGTGTGGTTGAGTCACAATGCAACGTTCAACTTCGTTGAGATATCAACCAGTGATTGCCACCAGCTACTATGTAACATCGGGTAGCGTGGCTGAAGTTCGCTTAGGCGAACTACATATATCCCTGGGCAAGGCTGAATCTCGCTTCTTATGTGTCCTTCGGATTTCGCCAATCAGCAACGTACACGTCAGAACCGCTTGACCGGATGGTTCCACAACGGTTCAGGCGCGAATTCTGTGGCTCAGGCCTAGTCTGTGCACTGCGCCATCCTATGCTCGCTTGTTAGGCTACAGGAAATACCAAGAAGAGGCTTGGACGACATACCTTGGCCACTTTAGCGTCATCTGTGGGGACATGTACCGTCAGCGACTTGCACAACCAGGCTCAGAGTTCAACCGTCTGTCCTAACAGCTATTCAGAAGTTTTGGCCATGAATAAATCGAGTGACCCGGTCATTCGAAAGCGCAGTGATGATATACTAGATACCATGCAGCTATCTCAACAACATTCCAAATCCCAGCAGAATGCTTCATCATCCGAGTACGTCGACAATATATATGGGGCACTTTCATTGCACTGACCGAGCATTTAGATCTATAGGAATTTTGGTTATGGGACTCACTGGTGCTGGAAAAAGCACATTCATCTCCCAGCTCACCCATCAAGACGCTGAGATTGGGCATTTATTAGAATCATGTACGTATGTTGAAAGTTTCTTGATTTCACGATCTCACGTTTTCAGGTACTACTGATATCATGCCTTATGAGTTCCATACAGGTGATGGACGGAAGCTCTATCTTATCGACACACCAGGGTTCGATGATACCAACACAGACTACGCAGGAGTGTTCAAGAAGATTGCATCCTTTCTCTGCACACTCTGTGGTCTCTATAAAAGTGAACTTACCATTGGTGGAATGATTTATGTTCACCGAATCACCGACGTACGAATGTCAGGATCTTCAGTCAAGAGCTTACGCATCTTTGAAAAGATTTGTGGCGAGCATTGCTTCCCCCATGTCACAGTCGTCACCACTATGTGGGATCTGATCAAGACTAAAGAAGCAAGGGATGCAGCGACGATACGTGAAAACACGTTGAGAGAACGGGCAGAATTTTTTGGCACATTGACAAGAGCTGGTGCTCGGATGGAGAGGCACTACGACGAAGACAGCGCGCGACATATCGTTGAAATGCTTGCTGATAGACAAAGAAATTTTTCTCTGCAACTACAAGAAGAGATGAAACAAAGCAGAGCAATGACGTTGGAGAAAACAACGGCGGGGAAATATTTGGAAGGCGAGTTGGATAGTATGCGCAGGAGGTATGAAATGCAAAAGAAAGAATTGGAGGAGAGTATGGAGGAGTCTAACGATGACGATGATTTCGGGAGCGAAGTTATAGAAGAGATAAGGGACTGCACAGTTACGGTGAACCGACTTAAAGCTGATCAAGGCAGTCTCTCTGTGACACTTGAAGACATGCAGCACGAGCAAGCAGCATGGTTCACCAGAAAGCATGATGATATGCTTCAGGACATGATATCAGACGAACAGTCTACTCGAATGACCTATGAGCTTCGGCAAAAAGTTCTCAAATTGGAAAAGGAAAATAGGCGACGAGACAAGAAGGAAATTGCTCAGAATGAAAAGATGGAGGAATTGGAGGAGCGTAACAAAAGACTTGAGGCTGCCCAGAAGGAACTTGAGGATCAACAAGCTTTTCGAGAGCGTGTAAAAGAAAAGAGAAACCATCAGTTTGATTGGGTAGCAAGAGTGCTCGCATTTCTCGCATCACCTGCAAAGGATCTGAGGGAGCCAGTACCAATAAAGTGCCGTGCGAATTCAATGCCCTTAGAGGCAAAAACACCAAAAAAATCAGCCACAAAGCTCACAAGAGGTCGAAGTCAGTCCAGGAATGGTCAAACCGGGAAATCAAACGCCAAAAATACGACCCATGTTGATGAACAAGACACAAAGAAATATTACATGTCTTCAAGTTCTCAATTCCAATATCATAAAGGATATGATCAGGTTTATGAGCCGGGATACGATGCAGTTAGTATTGGGAATTCAAATCGTCCCACGCATTCACAGCACAGATCTCTTCCAACTTATACGCCAATAACCCCAGGCTATGCAACTGGCCAAGTTCACTCACTGCCTGGTCCGGTAATCGTAGATCCTTACGGACTAAAACGTAGTATACCTCCATCTACAGGTTCTCTCCTACGAAGATATGACGATACCGTCCATACATCCACTTGGCAACCGCCACCTCAATCTAGCCCATATCATGACAACCATCATGATGAACTGACTTCGCGAGGTCGCAATCAGGCAGGGTAGACAAACAATGCGGCGACTAGTCTCCTTTCAATCACTTAATATACTCTGTTTCAAACGCCGACCCTGTGTATTATTTCAGTTTCGTTGTTAGAAGCGTTTTCCAGTGTTGTTCATAGAACACGATGATTAGTACACCACAAGAATCGATACATTTTGCCTTTGCTCCTCGCCGTATTATTCGAGCGGGCCCGCATATATGAAGGGATAAACGCCTAGTGGAGAGATATTACGTATATGATTGGCTATAAGCTGTGGGAAAGGTTTCCAATCTAGTCGTTTTGCGGCGCAGCGAGGTGCATGCACTGCCCCACTTGGGGCAATGCACAACACATGAACCGCATTACCTGTGGATGAGCTGGCGCTCGCCGGTCAGCCCCTCCAGAACGGCTGCCTGGTAGGAACACATGTGGTGGAGTGGCCATGAAGCTGGTTCGTCACCGTTCAGTTGTACAAATAATTATATCTCTACTAAGTGAGCCCATCCAATTACTAACGTTGTGGCTTGCATACGCAAGCAGACAGCACAGCCCGGCTCTCAGAGGTGCATTGCTGGTGATGACGCTTTATCATGGCATGCATGCATCGTGTATGCACTTGCAGTCCCAGCTCGCATAGCCCGGGTCATGCATTGTTGCCTTCTCGCCTTGCCTTGTAAGGCCGACTTGACTCCTGCATCTGCTTCACAAGGCTAAATTTATACGGCAACTTCTCACTACCTTCAGTTAATATTTTCTATAGAATTTCTTGATTGTATCGCGCAAACATGACGGCAGACAGAGGAGGCAGGGTAGATAGCCCTCATCGTGAGGAACTTCATCTCCCGAATCTCAAGTACGACCTTGTGCCCCTGATCCGATTGAATACTGACCGTGTCTCGAGGCCCAATGATATTATAATCGCGGTGATGGGTATTACTGGCTGTGGCAAGACAACATTTGTAAATCTGTTTGCAGAGACGCCTCTCGAAGTTGGTCATGGATTGGACTCATGTGAGAAACGTTGTCTTCGCTTCAAGCCATCATTCTAAACGTATCAAGGCACAGTATCAGTACAAGTAGCAACTTGCAAAGCCGAAGACGGTACAAATATCTACCTTGTTGATACTCCAGGATTCGATGACACATATCGATCCGATTCCGAGATCTTAAGAGAAGTCGCCCTTTGGCTCAACAAGGCACACGTGTCAAATGTGAAGCTCGCGGGTATCATATTTCTTCAGAGAATTTCCGACACTCGAGTCGGCGGCAGCGGCATCAGGAATATCAAGATGTTCCAGAAACTATGCGGTGAAGATACCCTCGCGAGCGTAGTTTTAGCTACAACAATGTGGGACCAGGTTGGCGAATATGCCGGAAAAGAGAGGGAAAGGCAGTTGAAAAACGAGCCTCAACTGTGGAAAAAGATGATAGATCACGGTAGTAAGGTCTATCGCCACGACAATGGAAAAACTTCGGCGGCCAAGATCATCAATTACTTGATAGCCAGAAAGCGACCAGTCACACTGGACATCCAACGCGAAATGGTTGACCAAGCAAAAGATCTTGTTGACACAGGCGCAGGAGGCGAGCTAGCTTCAACGGTGGAACTTTTGATCAAGAACTATGAAAGAAAATTGAAAGATCTAGAGCAGGAACTACGACAAGCACGGGATCAGCATAACAAGGAGGATCGGGAAATTCTAGAACAAGCCAGGAAAGAATATCAAGAAGGTCTCGTAAAGCAGCGACAAGAAATGATCAATTTGAGAATCAGCTCGGAACAGTTGATTGAGGACGCGAGGAAACGCTTCGAGGAGCAAGAACAGAGGCAGAGGGAGAACATGAAACTTGTACGGGAAGCTCATACCAAGGACCTAGAACAACAACGGATTTTGGTGCAAAAACAGTTCAGGGAGAGGTATCTCCGGGATATGTCGAATGCTGCATGCGTAATGATGTAGATCCGAGTGAAGAAATCAAATGTAACCATTTTGTTTACTGTGTTTGTTTCATGAGATGTTCCTGGTGACACAATTACTGCACCTCGGCTGTTGGTTCTGACCTTAGATTGAAGCATGATGAGAAGAAAAGTCTATGTAGTGTATCGCTGCTTTGCCTCTCAGAATTTCGATATTGATCTAATCTTGTTCCGCGAATTGCGCACACATGCCACATTATAGGTAGAGAATACAGGCTTTGAACTTTCCATTGGAAGAATGTCTTCTGCTACGTGGGTGAAAGATGAAAAAGACCATGTATGTCCATAACTTTATGATAGGGTCAGCGTATCCCTTGTTTTAAACTGAAGCTATTGAGGTCCGACTCCATGATACTTTGAAAAAATCAATCACTGTTTCAATCATTGTCTTGATCGAAACACATGTTTTCAGGCTTGCAGTGGTGGTGCCGCACATGTTATGGAAATAGCGAGTCATGGATGGTGTACTAAACTTATCAAATCTTTGCATCACATTGATGCTACCCACCATGATTATTGTGTGCGTATTCGTGTACAGTCAATAGGTTTCTGGTATCGTTGGCTTCAAAGAGATTTGAGTGTGGAAGCGCTCGTGGGACTGTTTGCTGGAGCCCAATCGAAATACGACAACACGATGCCTACAAGTGAGTAAGAATGACAAAACAGACAGTACTCTGATCGTCCCTAATTTCGTATTCAATTAATACAGGCATATTTGCAAGCAGCCTTTAGAGGATTCATAAGGTGCGGCGATGCGTGCGATAGTAGGAATATGAGTCGTCAATTTCGAGTAAGAGAAAAACCATATCCCAAGCTTCAACATTGCTATGATCGCACGTAGAGTAATATCATCAGGGAAACATGGGACACAACAGGCGGACGAATTTAGGCGGAAACTACTGATCTGCTTAGTAAGTGACGTCGTATACGCCTTCGGTACGTACAGTCGCGCAACACCACATGGGGTAAAGCGGGGAATTTGCCCTTGAGAAAGCCGAGGTAGATTGGTATAAATACTAAAGACGTCTGGATCTTAAATTCAATGCATTTACACTTTGTACATCCCTAAACACATCTTGATTATTCCAAGCATCATGACAGACTCACATAAGCGTATCGGGCTGATTGGTCTTTCAGCGAAAGGGTTTGTGTTAAGCATTGGAAGAAAATCCTAACGCATGAAACGGCTAATATGATATATAGCTCTTGGGCATCTCAATCACACCTTCCTTACTTCCAAAAGACCTCCAAATACAAGATCACGGCCCTTCAAAACAGTTCGCAATCCTCTGCTGAAGCAGCAGCCAAGAAGTACTCTCTGAACGGCGTCTCGACACATGAAAGTCCGGCTTCGATTGCTCAAGATCCAAATGTCGATATCATAGCTGTCAGCGTCAATGTACCTCAGCACTACAATCTCATCCGGCCAGCACTTGAAGCAGGCAAAGATGTATTTTCCGAATGGCCACTCGCTCGGAACGCTGCGGAAGCTGAAGAGCTAGTGCATTTAGCAAATGAGAAGGGAGTAAAGACCTTGGTCGGACTACAAGCGCGTCAAAACCCGTCCATCATCAAGGCAAAGGAAATCGTTGGCTCGGGAATATTGGGAAAAATTCTCGGAACGACAATGTTCGGCTATGTGAGTGCATTCAATTCTCAGGCAGTACTTATTCCTGATGATGTATTAGGCTATGATATTTGGAGGCGTAATCCCAGAAGAGTTTCTGTATGGGTTACCCATTGAAGCGGGAGCTAACATGTTGACTATACCTTTTGGTCATGCTGTTGACGCACTGTGCTATGTTTTGGGCAGTGAGCTGCAGGGCATTCTCGCTACCCTGTCCAACAACTACCCCGAGATCGATCTTGTTGATAGTAATGGCAAGCCGATCGAAAAGCGCAAAAAGACAGCGCATGACTTTGTCAGCATAACGGCGTCGCTCATCAATGGCGGTGGCAATGTCGCCGTGACATATGCCCCAGGCGTACCCCGCTCTGGACATGGCTTCTACTGGGAAATCATCGGTTCGAAGGGTACTCTGATTCTCGAAGGAGACACCGGCGGTCATGTTCAAATGTTCCAACCAACTATCAAACTCGCAGTTGGCGATGGGGGGGTTAAGGAAGTCGAAGTCGAAAAGGCAGGTGACTTTTCCTTCAATGTGGGGAAAGCCTGGGACGCGTGGGCCGGCATTGGGACGGAGAACGGATACAGCGCCACAACCTGGGAGGAAGCGCTTGTGAGGCATAAGATGATTGAAGCCATCTATCGCAGCGCGGATAAGGGCACGCGTGAGAACTATGTTTAAGCTTCACTGATATCTCTGGTCAGCGCTAGCGCAGGAAGCAATGCACCTCGGTTGTGGCGCACAGCGAACGCCCCTTCAACTTAGTCGGACTTCCCATCAATACAAAATCATCGTGGAATAGTTCTAACAGACCCCTAGCTGCGAACCTTTACTCTCCACAGTATAACATACCAAAGTTACATCAGATCCACAATTATTCTAGCCAATCCAGTAATCATTGTTGTTCACAACCGCCAAGCCTTCTATTTGACCGCTTACAAGCTTTTTCTTACGTTATAGTTACCATCCCATCACTCATTTTTCCGGCCAAGCGCCTCATGGGGTATGATGTCACATAACCAAGTCAGTTTACACTGCAAAGCAAAGCATGAATCACCCGCTTCCTGTGATGGGAAAATTCAGACTGGCGCCCTTGCGCCTCCGAGTTTCCATGAACTATTCTCGCCTATTACATACAAACTATACGTCCTGGGCCGCTTTTTAAACTTTTGATAATCTGATTGATATCTCGGCATCGGAAAGCTTGTTAATCCTAGGGTGTTGTTACAGTCTAGGCTTTCGAACCACTAGCACTCCATCAATCTTCGGTGGTGGTAATTGCCACTTAATCCAAGACATACGTCTTGAGGCTGCCTAGCATTTCCATCGGCTCGAAGAGAGAGAAACAGCCGTATACAGGACTATCCAAAACGTCATCACTACTTCTACACCCATGAAGCAATCCTCACCAACTCCTCCACGCTCCTCAGCCAGCCTCTCCTCCCATGATACACGAGAGAAACCACCATCTCCAACTTCCCCACTCGACTCAACCAAAGAAGCCGACACAGACTCGCATCCAGGCTACCTCACCTGGACCGACCCCTCCGACCCCTCCAACCCCTTCAACTTCCCCGCCAGCAAAAAATGGCGCACAACCCTCCTCGCATGCAGCATGACCTTCCTCGTCCAAGTCTCCGGCACAATGCTCACATCGGCCGCACCGCAAATAAACTCGAGCTTCGCCATCAGCGACGAAGCGTTCCCGCACTCGTATTGGCCGGTGCTAAGCTGGAACCTTGGCGGCGCAGCAGCGCCACTACTAGGTCTCCCTTTGATGGAGAATTTTGGCGTGAGATGGAGTTACATGATCATTTATGCGGTTATGATCATCTTTATCATTCCGCAGGCGGTAGCACGCAACTTTGCTACGTTGGTTGTTACGAGGGTAATCACGGGATCGTGCGCGGGCGTGCTGGCGAATATCACGTCGGGGATTGTAAGCGACATCTGGAGACCGGGGCGAGTGCATAGTTTCTGTACGTCGCTGTATATCTTTGCATTGCTGGCGGGGTTGAACATGGGGCCTGTGTTTGGGAGTTTGGTGGTAAGGCATACGACTTGGAGATGGTAAGATAATGGCTACGTATGCAGTCTGGTGGTGGATACTGACGAGTTCGATAGGATATTCCTGGGTCAGATTATCTTTTATGCCTCCTTGATACCAGTATTGTTCCTGCTTCTCCCAGAAGTCCGACCAGATGTTATTCTCACGCGCCGCGCCCGTTATATACGTGTGAACACAGGAAAACAAGTCTACACTGCAGCTGAGAAGCAACAGACAAGTTTTAGCGATATCCTCAAAGAGACGCTCGTTCGACCTTCACGTATGCTCTGCACAGAAGGCGTGGTGCTGTCGTTTGGCTTGTGGAGCGCATTCTGCGTAGGAACCGCCTTCATGTTCACGCAGTCTATAGTCCAAGTCTTCTCTGAACTGTATGGTTGGACCTTCTTTGGAACAGGCTTAGTCCAGAGTGCAGTCGTGATTGGAGAGTTCATAGGACTTTTTGCATCACTGGTGCAAGATCGAATCTATTTCGCATCTGCCAGACGAAACACGGAAAGCCCAGGTAGACCTATGCCGGAAGCTCGCCTCTACCTGAGTATTCCCGCGTCCTTCATCGGCTTGAGCGGAGGTCTTTTCTATTTTGCCTGGACATCTTATTCCTCTATTCCGTGGATTGTACCCAGTATATCACTTGCTTTTGTGGGTTTCGGCATGTTTTGCAGTACGGCAGCGGTGACGTCGTATGTCGTTGATGCATATGCAAAGTACGCGGCCAGTGCAATTGCCGGCATTGCTTTTCTCGAGAATACAATGGCGGCGTTCTTGCCACTTGCGACTCAGAATTTGTATCGTGCACTCGGTTTCCAGTGGGCTAGCAGTTTATTGGGCTTTGTGGCGCTAGCGCTGAGTTGCATTCCGTTGATTTTGCTGAAATATGGGAGGAGTATACGTGCGAGGAGCCCGTTCATGAACCAGGCGGGTTATGAAAATTAGACATAATGATAGCTTTGTAATTTTTGCCAGTATAGCATTGAGCAATTTTCCATCCTTTGAAATAATGATCGGTTTGCATATCACCCTCAAGTATACTTTTGTATCAAATCAAAGTAGTAAGCTCGAACAAATACACGTGCAACGAATCAAATCTCTAAGACGACGATTACAATTTGATTCCATGTAAAAACCTGAAGAAAAAAAGATTCAGCTATCTCTGCATAGGACCCTACAAACACGCCATGGAATACAAATGTAATTTACTTCGTCTTCGCTTCTGCTCCTTCTCAACCCGAGATCCTTCACACAAAGAACACACAGCCCCAGGTGATCTCACCCGCTCAAACATCAATCTGTAATAGATGCGAATGCATGTGTATGTTTGTAGTGATGATACGAAATAAAAACAGATGAAAGAAAAGGAGGTTTTACACAGCAGCGTAACCACCTCTACTACCACTGCCCTGCACCGTATCCAGCACCTTTCTCGCGAAATCTTTCGCAACGTAAGGGATGTCGCGGATCGCATCACCATGGGGTAGCGCATCCCAGCCACGAGCACCGTAGCGGTTGTAGTTCAGCCACGAGCCAAAGATAAGGTATGCAGCAATTGCGAGGAAGAGGCTATTTTTCAATATATGATTAGTCTCTTGAAGTTGAGGTGGCTGGAGAAGAAGAAAGAATAGGGGAGGGGTGCACGTACATGATAAAGAACCAACCAAAGAAGCCCCAGTGAGAACCGTTGTCGGGCTCAGGCGCATCTGCGCAGGCGTATTTGGTCCGCCACTCCAAGCGCAGTGTGCGGACCTTCTTGTCTTTGGTGTCAGGCTCCACCTCATACCCACAAAAGCGAAGACTGGCGTCGCTATCTTCGCATTTGCTCTTGTTATTTTCCTCCCTTGCCTTGAGTTTACCTTGTTTCTTATCATCCTTCTTATCACCGTCCTTGTCGTCCTTGTCGCCATCCTCATGCGGGCTGTTGTCCACCTCATTGCCCTCGGATCCGGACCTGTCCTTGTCACACACAAACTCGATAATGGCCCGCTGATCCATGCCTTCCTTCTTATCATCGAATGGAAATCGGCCGCCGTTTAGAGTCGCTCTGACACCCTCGCGCGCATCAGAGTTGCTCTTTGAATGGCCTAGATTCTCAAACTTGGCGTCGATTGTTCGGCCGTTCTGCATTGGATAGCTACCTGCGATATCGATGGGCGTGATGCTTGTACTGTTCTCCTTGCTGAGATCAACCATTTCTCTAATGGCGCATACCCTTGCGCCGTGGTGGCACTCGGTATCGAGTGAGCCGCCCTTGTGCCATTTGAGGGCATTGCAAATGTCAAGGGTGAAGTTGTACTTGAACTTGAGCTCCTTTTCTAGGTCGGACTCTTCCCAGTGTACCGTATGGGGGCCACCTAGCTCTTTGAAGTTAAAGTGTGCGCCATCAGCGAGGATGTCCTTGCAGTCGAAGGCCCACGCCGCCTGGGGGAGGAGCGTTGTAGCAGCGAGGAGGGAGAGTAGTGAGGCGCGGGACCGTGAAGGTGCCATGACAGCTGTGATGATATGATGCAGGCGTGATGCCGGATGGAGAGACAGGCGACGGCGCGATCTTTCGATGCCCGATACGACCGTAGTACGGGGTTACGAGGTCAGGGAGGCAGGCAGCGAGTCGTCAACTGGTCTGCAAAGGCCTTATCGATAGGTCGATCAGCGGATAAGCCGGGTCAGAGGCTTAAAGAAAGCGTGGTTCAAGGAGGCTAGTAGCGATACAGGGGGATTTGCGCGAGACGGTAGTGTCGCGTTGTCGCGTGGGCCGTGTGAGGAAAGTTGGCGCTGATGACGATGTTCAACGGCTGTCGCTTAGTCAGATGGTCGGAGTTCTTGTCTCCTCTGCGCCGATCGACTGCAACATCAACATTGAACCGTCACCCTCACAGCCACGGGTTGACGACACCGACAACGACAACGACGGCAAGGGCGTATGGCCAAAGCATAAATGCGCCGAATAGTTTGCGCGGGGAACGTGCAGTAACGTTGCATCCTCATCAGATCGCCTCATGGCAGATCATACCTTGCACGTGACGGGCAAGCAATTGGCACGAGACTTTGACCTTTACTATCAGGGATAGTGTCCTCTCGGCACGGTATTGGCAGATCAAATCCAAGTATCACTCTCCACCCTATAGAGGCAATAGCCACATCGATTTTCAAGTATTGGTGGCTGCTAGCGCCCTTGCCTGGAGCTGCGCGGAGCATTCCCCTTGGAATACGAACGCACGGTGCTAAAAATAGACCATCATGTCGAGAAAAGGCCGGGGTATATCTGGTACATTTTTCATGACTTGCAAAACTGTCCAGTATACACCTGGCTTGATTGGCTCAACCGCAAAGCAAACACCAATACTGTAAACATGTAGCAATGCAGAAATGGAAGTGTGCGGAGATTTCTTAATATTGACATACGAGAAAAGAGTGACTAGTCTTCCTATACGGCCCTTGCATCAGGCTCTATCCATGTTGGACATAGCTAGTACACTATAAACAACAGGCTAGTGGCTTGATTACGCAGGACACACGGCATGAAAACAAGATATTGAACAAGGACTCGAAAAATGACCAAACGCCAGCAATGCAAAGTCTAAACCCAAACAAGAAATTGATGATATCCCGCGCATCATGCTAAGCCAGAGGATCGTGGTGACGTGGAAGTAAGAACTCAAAAAACCGGACAAAAAACACCAGGAATGCAGGAATGCAGGAATGCAGGAAATACAGGCTAGGGACGCAAACAGTGCTATCGTGAAATATTGCAAGTTGGAAAGATGCAAGAAAGGGCCCGAGAACAAAGGGCGAAATGGTGGTTCCGAGTGGTGGAAAACACAATGCGCTGAATGCATACAAAGAACAAAATGGAAAGAAACTCCAAGAAATGGAACGGACAATGCTGTTGATGGAGACGAAAGGAGGAATTGCGCCGTGAACCGCTCATGTCTACCGAATCATGAGAGTTGGAAAGAGAAAATCCCCAATGCAACCCGAGTAATGAGACTAAGAAAGGAAACTCATATGAAGCGCTTTATTTTCCCTGGCCTCCTTGCTGCTGGCCTCCTCGGGGCTGAGCGGGCATTGGGTACGGGAAGGGAGCATAAGGGAGTTGGTAGCCCTGGCCAGATCCAGAATTGCTGCCAGCAGTAGAGGTACCAGAAGGAGAAGAGGCGGAAGAAGACATTGTGCTTGTAGTGGTGTTGCTAGTTGCTTCGATGGGTTGAGAATGAGATCGTTGCAGACGGTCAGACGGTCTGGAGGAGCCTTGTTGACCGGGAGATTGCGAAGAAGATAAATTACCTGTTGATTGGTGACGCACAAGTATGGAGCGGCTTTGACGAGGAGTAGACTCGGGTGAAGGTGTGTGTGGATTAGTGATAACAATCACTGGCGTGGAGACTGTTTGTTCAGCGGTAGATTGAGGAGTTTCCGTAAAGTCTTGATGAGTAGAAGAGCCTGTGAAAGGGCTGGTTCCAGATTTATCGTTGGTATCGGTAGGCTTTGTGGAGTTTGATGCGCTTGGAGTCTCAGAGGGGCTATCACTCATATAATGGAAAGTTGTAAATGGTTGATGTTTGTCCTACTCGAGAAGGTGGTTCGGAGAGTGCGAGATGTTTTGACAGACTGCTTGCAGTTGTCGATGTTGTTTGGGAAGTCGTAAGCGTAAGAGTGTGGTGATGGTTGAATGTAGTTGTTGTGTTGGGTGATGATATTGTGAGTTGAAAGTAATCCAGTTCTTATATCCTCATCGACGACGACACGAGCCCCCAATCTCGATCGCATTGAAGTCCGGTTTCAAGATCACTAAGAATCGGTAACAGAGAGAGTGAAGCCTGAATAGAGAAGATGTCCTAAGCCGGCCGAATATCACATCACTCAAGTAAGTCGTCCACGGCACGACTTGTGAGGCCCAAGCGTCCGTTTGTCCGAGCAGTAACGTTCAATACTATTGGACTATGTAACAGCCAATTTTGGTCTTGGGTCGTGAGCCGGGACCCGTAGTGCTGGAAAAGGCGACACTGGTAGCGGAGCCGGTGGATGGGGTAGGAGCGTGTGCGGATGCCTTTTTTAGAAGTGTGGCGTCGGGACCACTCACTTCTCCAAGTATTCGGAATGCACGGTCGGCAAAGTGCAGCGGGATGCTGTAGGGCTGCTGGTGTGTCAGATGCTTATTTCGAGCCGCACGCACGAGACTTGGTGTATGCCGTCAGAGTTGCAGGCCAAGTGACAGAGTATACCGGTACAAGTCTGGCTATGGCTGGATAGTGATGGATATGGGATATGGGATATGGGCAACCGCTTCGACGGCTGAAGCATTTGATCATCGCTTCACGGCCCAAGACGAAACCAACAGATATACATGGCGAAGTTCCATTCTGGCGTCTTCTCGCATTCGGCGGTTCTTGACGGAAGTCTGCTTTGTCGTCCCTGTGATAAGCATGCCAAATAGCCAAAGACAGCGGGTCGCTGGTGCAAGACTAGGCGCGCAGAGAAAAGGCGACTAAAAGGTTATTGTGCGACTCTGTCATGGCAGGTGTGGCGCGCGTGCCGTGTGGTGAACGCTACCTCTTGTCGGTATGGCCGATCCAGGTATCTGGACAAACCAGAGGGTTTTGGGCGCAACTGACAAGTCGATTGGTCCGCCGAGAGCCGTTCCATTATGATTTCGTACCGGCCTAAGGCTCGAGTCGAACGCACGGGCGAATAAGACTGTTAGGTGGTTAAAGGGTCGCTAATATTAGCTGTCCTAACACGAGGTGTAGGTAGTTGCCGAGCCAAAGGGGGGGGGGGGGGGTTACTCAGCTCGCGTCAAAATTCCGCCGTCCAGCCAGCTGCACACCGTCATGCGGGACTTTTCCTCCCGATCTGTCTGCCATGAAGTCATCTCTGTCGCCTCCAAGCACATGTGCACAACTTGTGAGATGCACCAGACACCTGGCGGTAATGATGCAGTAGGATGTTTTGTCAGCAGTCGTGTTGCACTCGCTTGCGGATTAGTGAGGAGCCAGAGACCAGGGATAACCTCCCGCCAACCACCTTTTCTTCTAGAAGTTTGCCCAAACCGGAGGCTGGCGGCGCAATCTGATGTCAAGAAGGTCATGCTTCGCAGTCCGCACATCGGGTTGCAATAGGCCTCCAAGTCTGCGACTATGCATCTGGCGGTCAAGTGTCTACCTGCAAGAGGCATACCACAAGCTACGTACGTATGCTTGGGATTTTACTAGGTGCGGCGGGCCTTAGCCAGTAGGAACAGCGCATGGCACGCCCATTGTGAGAAACCCATGATTTCTCCATGGTAATGGTTTGGTTCAGATGATGAACGACACGGCCCAAAGAATCTGGGCTCAGCGGGTACCTTGCCGAGACACACATGGGTCCAACGGGTCCGGGCATCCACAACAGCCCTTAATTAGCTTTGCATCGCTGTAAAAAGGGGGCAATTAATGCACTTTGCCGGCCAAAATCTTGCTGACACAACGTTGTCAAGCAATCAAGTGCAGCGCGTCATTCCCATTCTTAACACGCTTTGGCTTACTAACGACGCCCAACCGATTATCTCATCACTCGTGCCTTAGCAAAAGCCACAACAGGAGCGCGATAGTGAATCGTTGCAAAGACATTGCAAAGACATTGCAAATACTTACATTAGCAATATTGGAAAAGCGCTTGTTGCATGCTGGAAAAATTCAAAGGTCGGGCGCCAGCAGTACATATATAAAGATAATGAAGAAGACGTAGACTAGGGATACTCTAGTACTATTACTTGTCTCTGAGTAGCTCAGACGCTCGAATAGCTAGTATACAACTATCTTATCTGATTCAATAAACATCATCTACAAAAACATGGCAACTACCCTTCGTGTCGCCCTCATCAGCAACCCCGGCAAGCCTCTAGAAATAACAGATGCAGACACCTTACACGCCGGCCTAGGCGAAGTCCTAATCCGAAACCATGCCATCGCGCTTCAGCCTCTCGATGCAAAGATGCTGATTGCAGGTTACGGCCCAGCCGCACACCTCGCATACCCCGCGGTTCTTGGTACCAGCGGAGCGGGCATCATCGAAGTGGTAGGCGAACATGTCCAAGGACTGGCCGTGGGTGATAGGGTGGTCTTTGATACTAAAGCGTATGTTGATGCCAGCAACAACCGAAGGACGGGTACCTGGCAGCAGCTAGTCGCATGCGATGCCAAAACCGTAGCGAAGGTACGTGTGCTATTAAAGGCTCAAGTTCGCAACACCGATTGCTTGGCTGATATGTAAGCAGATTGGCGACGTCGCCTTCGAACAAGCTGTGTTGGTCGATTTTCCATTGCAAACAGCGGTTGCTGCCTTGCACGTCTTCCTTGGAATGGGAAAGCCCGGTAGTAGAGCAAAAGAAGAGAAGGTACTGATCTGGGGTGCTGGGGGCGCGGTTGGTTCGTATGCAGTTCAATTTGCGAAACAAGTAAGTCGTCGATTCCACGTCTAAATATCAGCCTAACTAGCACAAGGCCGGATATACAGTAGTCGTCACAGCGTCGCCGCGGGATGTTGAGCGCCAGATGAAGTTAGGAGCCAGCGAGGTTGTCAACTACAAAGACACTGATGCAGTTGCCAAGCTACGCAGTCTGGGACCGTACAAGTACCTCTTCACTGCAAGCGGTGATGCAGCCTCCCAAAGCGCACTGGCATCGCTTCTTGAGTCTACAGGAGGTAGCTTCGCCAGTGTTCTGCCCAGTGCAGTTGAGCTGCCTTCGAATGTCAACCTCATATACTCAGCCTTCTCGCAAGCTGCGCAAAAGGAGGAGTACTCGAAATGGCGCGACTGGTGGTACCAAGAGTACCTGCCCAAAGTGTTTTCAGGAGGTCTTGTGGAGCCTGTAAGATTTACCAAGGTTCAAGGTGGATTGTCAGCGTTACAGCAGGCGAGCCAGGATGTGTTTGACAGTAAGGTCAAGGGGAAGCTCGTCATTGACCCCCAAGAGTAGCAAATGGTGAAATAACTGTGCCTTCATTATCACGTGTGCCTAGACGTCAGTGGCATACCCTGCTTGTGCAGGCCCTACACGGAGTCGGTGTGCAAGGCGTCAGCATGGTCCAAGCGGGTAGCATGACGACCATGATGACGGCGGGGATTAAAAAGCAATGTGCCTTTTGTGTGACCTCTCGTCCATTGACAGACCAGTGAGAATACTTTCATCGGAGATGGTGGCATTTATAGTGGTGAAGAAGAGGGTTGAAACTACAGTCGTGTGGCAGGCACTGTATGTTCGTACACACGTGCATAGCTAGTACCGTCATCGGGTTGCGCGTAAACGCCAAATCACGTGCGTATTACACACACTTACGCTAATGACATCACCTATGCTATTTCCCTCGCATTAGGTGTACAACGACTGACGTTTGCCAAAGTTTGCGATACACCCTTGCTTTGAGGTAGCTTTGAGGTAGCTTTGTCTTTTCCCGCCACCCCCAGTATGGCCATCTAGAGTTGCATGCGAGATCTGAAATCTGAGATCTGAGATCTAAGATCGCACGTCGCAAAGCGGGTCTCGCTAGGGGAGACGGCTGGGCGACTGGATCAGGGACAAGATGGGATTCCGTCTTGCCCATGCATGAGTGGATGGGTACCTGAAACTTCCCCATATGCACCATGTGCGTGCTAGTCGCTCAGTCGCACAACATTGGCTGCAGTACGTTGATGTGGCTTGTGTCCCTGGGTTGTCGGGACGATCATCTGGGGGTCATGATGTCTTGATAAAATGCAAGAGGCTAGTCCCATCGCATCGTGTACCGGACTCTAGACTCCTCCGGCGGTACGGTGAATATGTGCATCTGATATCTCCTTGTTTGATGTGAAGCAACCCGATCGTTGACGTAAGAGTGTCCAGGTCATGTAGCAGATCGCGCGATGGCCACGATGACGACGTTGCGAGAACAAAGCCATGGTGAATATCAGTCCTTTGGACAGGTATAAGAGAACCTGAATTCTTCGTCTTTGCTCTCACCATCAACTCAGCAACTCAGCAACTCATCCATCTTCACAATAAACATCCAACCAACACCACCTTTCAAACTCCCCTACCAATAACCATCAACATGTCTGCCAACCCCGGAAACGTCATTGGAGGCCACAAGGCCAACATCAACAACCCCAGTTGGTTTCCCTCAACTTCTCTTTTACGCTTTTACTGACCCATGCCAGACACTTCGGACGAGGCCAAACAGCACTCTAAGGAGGTCCTCCAGGATCTCGAGAACGGCGGCGAAATCACGTCCAAGTCCACCAGCGACCAGGATAAGAATCCCAACAACGTTGCTGGTGGCCTCAAGGCTACTCTGAAGAACCCCAATGTCTCCGACGAAGCTAAGCAGAGCGCCGAGGAGAGGCTTGGACAGTTGTAAGCCGCTCAGGACTATGCAATATGAGGGTTTGATGCCTATGGGTGGACCGAAGAGGAGGGAAGGCATTGAGCCAAGCCGGTAAATATGAGTGTTTTAGCACCATCAATGACAATAATGCTCTATACCTCGCGTCTTCAGGCTTGACCATGCATGTTATTTGACCTTGAGCGCTGTTAGCGGCATTTATTGGTGAGATCACGATTGGCACTCACCCACAGACCACCATGATAGATGCTTTACAATATTCCTGCGTTTCCAGTTTTTGATGCTCTAGTTCTTCTCCTTCAGCAGCCCCATGACAACTTCCACTACTCTCCTAAACCCCTCCATCTCTTCTTCGACTGTCCCACCCATGCCTGCACTCGCAAAGCTTGATGAATTTCCCACGTATACGGGCTTCCCTGCCTTACGCGCAAGGACCTTGGATAACCGTGTTGTGAAATCTAGCGTCGAACCATGGGTGAAGAGGGGCGTGCTCAGCGTCTCGGCAGGTGTGACTTTCTGTGTATGATGATTTAGCATTTGCACGTAGCAAGTACATTAGTACGTGTAGGGCGAAAAATTGAAGACGCACATTTGGCATGGCATATACAAGAGACCCCATGGGAGTAGACGTTGCCGACTCGTCCGTCGAAGTGGTGAGGAAAACGACGAGATTGGGGCCATTATTTGTGAGTTGCAGGTGAATATTTGTGGCAGGTGCTTTAGGCAGAGGAAAAGACACCTGTATGGGCGCATGCGACGCGCCATTCTGGGAGGTTGATGTAGCCATGGCGCGTCGGAGAAAGTGAGGTTGCAGAGACGTACTATGGCTTTGTAGGTGGGTGGGAAAGTGGCAGGTGGGGTAGTACCACTGTTACTAGTACGCACCTGGTGGCGTCACACACCTTCCAACAAGAGATCCCCCCGAGCGAACCAGCGACTTCTCCGATATCCTCCGCGTGATGAAATCCATCCGTTGGTAATGAAATCATAGAAAATACCAATATCCCGGATCTCTCCATTTCAGGTGTTGACACTTGCAATTTGCGAGTGTGGAGGCACGGCTGCACGTGGGGTTACAAACTATTAACATAGAAATAAAAGCTCTTCACAGAAGTCACTCATCTATATAGCAATTTGGACGATATATATATTACAACAGAAAGAATGGAAGAGGAGGATTTGCACGACACCTACGATCCCACATCTGATCCCGAAGAACAGAAACTCATCATCTCGGTTCTAGACTCATTCCGGTACACATCAGATCGCACCCCAGCTCGTCAATTTTTGGCTTGCCTTGCACAGTTCAACTAACACATGCAATCCAGCTCCTACCGCCGCCACGCACACTACAATGCTACTCACACACGGCGCCAAGCCTTTTACTCACTTCCCTCCGCTCACTGGACCCTACTCTCGCAGCCCCCCTTCTCCCTCCTTGCTACCTTCTCTACCGTAGACGATCTCATCGATCAGAACGCCAACCTAGCTGAAGCCATATTTGCTGCAGGCTTCAAGTCTTTCCTGGCGCCCACTCTGGATAGCGAATGGGTTGCTTCTATCGTGCCCGAAAAGTATGCGCGAGATGAGTTCAAAGTGTTCGATATCGTGCTAGACGCGCTCATAGTAGATGGTCGGGGAAGTAGAGCCGGCCAAAACGACCTGGAAAAGGCAAGGAGTTGCGTAAATCAATTCTACCGCGAATGGAGTGAGCAGGGCCAGGAGGAAAGGAAAGCTTGCTTTGACCCCGTTCTATCGGCTCTGCAAGGAGAATTCGCTCAACGCGCCAAAACTGCGGATGCAGCTTCTGAACAGGATCGAGGCGACTTCAGAGTCCTAGTCCCAGGCGTTGGCCTCGGCCGTCTCGTCTTCGACGTTTGCCGCGCGGGATTCAGCGTCGAAGGCAACGAAATCTCGTACCACATGCTCATGGCCAGCGCGCTCGTGCTCAACGAAACAAAGCATGCGCACCAGTTTTCCATTGCGCCCTGGGCACTTGGCAGCTCCAACCACGTTTCGCGGGCGGATCAGCTGCGCACGGTTGAGATACCGGATGTGCATCCGGCAACGGTACTTGGGGAAGAACAGGCGTCGCGAGTGCCGGCTTCGGACCGCATGAGCATGTCCATGGGCGACTTTTGTGTCGTGTACGGTCGATCGGATTATACAGGTGTATTCGATGCAGTTACGACTGTCTTCTTTATTGATACTGCCCCGAATCTCATTCGGTATATTGAAGCTGTGGCCAACTGCCTGAAGCCAGGCGGTATCTGGGTGAATCTCGGTCCTCTGTTGTGGCATCCGCCGCCGCCTCGCAGAAATCATGGCGAAGAGGACGAAGAAGAAGCGAGTAGGATAGAAAGCGATGCGGGAATAGGGGACCCGGGGTCATTCGAACTTACAAATGACGAAGTGATTGCGCTGGTGCAACATCTTGGCTTTAATATAGAGAGGCAGGAGACGGATACGATTCAAACAGGGTATATTACAAACACGAGAAGTATGCTGCAGAGTACCTATCGTCCTTCGTTCTGGCTAGCACGTAAAAAAGATGAGAAATAGAAAAAGGAAAATCGTAGCTATGTTGTTACGAGAAGTAAACAAGATCAAGATACGAAGAAAGAAGGAAGCTGTACTACAACAAATCCCCATCCTTGGCAACAGCCCAGCAAACCTTACACTCCTTGTACAACTTTGCACAAAACTCCCTGGCCGTCATGTCGTGCCCGAAATCAGTCGCAACCACATGTCCTCTTGCACAATACCACGTCCAGCCTTGGGCCTGCCTTTTAAGATAATTCTCACCAGGCGACCAAGTATCTAGCGAAAAGGTAATGCGAGTCAGCTGGGGGCCCCGGGGTACCGTATCCGACAAGTCTGTGCCGAGCAGCTTGAGCGACTGCGAGGCGTGGTACCAGATCCACAGCGGGTTCCAGAGGGGGTCTCCAAGGGCTTTTGCTTCGAGCGTGAAGGTCTGGATGGATGACATGTGTTTGAGCTGTTGGCGCATGCGACGGCCGAGAGACCACGATGAGGAGGTCATGGAGCGTGGGTCTGTGACGCCGAGCATAGCGGATGTGGTGGTGAGGCTGAGGGAGCAGTTGCGGATTTTGGAGAGGGTGGCGGGGGAGATGGTCCAGACGTTTGTGGGTTCTTGTGTTGAGATGGCAGTGATGGGGGGAGGAGGGGATGGAGGCGAGGGAAGAGGAGTGGGAGGGAGGGACTTGTAGGTTTTTGGGGAGACGAAAAATTGAAAGGTACGGCGTTTACATAGCATATCCATGTATTCTGCGTGGACTTGCTTGTTGGCGAGGAATATGTATTTGTTGTTGCGTTGGCGGGGGCGTGGTGCTGTTGATAAGATCCAGCGGCTCGGGTTCATCCACGATACTACAGAAGGTGCGTGAAAGGATGGGCGGGGTGGCGCGGGGTATACGGGGTCATCGAGAAAGTATTCATAGACCATGTCCCGTAACTCTTGGGGTAACTCTAGAAAGGGAAACGGCTTTTGTTCTCGTTGTTGTGTCTGGCGGTGGCGGATGGTGATTACGAAGATGACCAGGGGTAAGAGTATCGCCGCCAGTGTGATGAGCCAGCTCTCCATTCTGGGTCTTACAGCAGACACAGTAGATGCTGCCGCTGTCCATGCTGGCCATGGTGATGGCAAAGTTGCTAATGTCGGCATGTTGGATACCAGGCTGGCATTTGGTAGTAAGCAAGTGGCCAAAGGGAGTGGAAGTGGGTAGATGAAGCGTCACAGGGCAGCAGATAATGTTTTGTTGGCCGAGATTGCGAGGAGCAACAATTTAGGAATGTGCGAAGGGGGAGGAGATGCAATGAGCGGCGGTAGGTGTGAGCTGAGGTTATGTTTGTGTCGATATGTTGGTGCCTGGTGCCTGGCGCATACGTGCCCAAAGGCCATGTGAAACGGGGAGGAAGCGTCGCAGATGGGGTTGGTCCCAACTACGTCTTATTAACTAGACAGCACAGCCACATTGCTATTTCCGCGCGCGAACCATTGCTTTTAATGTACATACTACACGGCGAACCAGCAGAGTCATGGTACCACTGGTTCAGCCACATGTTCCTAATTAGCCTTGGATACGACAGGGGTAGGCGTGTATGCAAGTAGATGGAGCCCAACCAGTGTAAAAAAAAAAGCAACGAGGGACGCAGTCATGCAAGAAATATAAGATGTACATAGGCGAATGTATGGTCAATTGGCAATTATGAGCACAGTGCATGGCGAATTTAGTGGTTTTGAAAGACCTCACCACTAGTAAGTGGAGTATCGGTGATTTTTCTGATTCGCAATGTTCAATGGTAGGGATGCAACGGGCAAGCATGCCTGTTGTGGCCATGTCACCGTGTAACTTGTTGTCGATGCACAGCTTGGGAGCCGCATCCTGTCCTTGCATTTTTCGCTCACGTCCCTCATGGGTATCGTATTGGCTATCCAGCCTTTTTTTTCAAAGCCCCTGGTCGGCGCCGTTGGCCTAAACGACGCCATTGACTGCTGTCTGTTTGTTGCTCACAGCGCACACGTGATGCTGCCATCCTCGCCGCTGGTAATGGTCGGCAATCACTCTTCTTCCTGCAAGAAGGGGTTGGCGATTTCTTCGCTTCCGTCTACGGGGGAGATGACGACGAGCAGGGTGCCGCGTGCGACGATGAGGCCGAGTTTGCGGTATCGGATGTTGCCATCCTCGTCTGCGGTGGTTAGGAATGACAGAGTGTGTGTATTAATCTCTCACATACCTGTAAGAGCCTCTTTGACCTCGTCGAGGACAAGGTTCATAAGCTGGTCGTAGCCTTTCAATGTGCCAATGACTGCGGGGAAGTTAGCCTCCACTGCTCGTTGCAAAGCGACCAAATTGCCTTTGTTACCTTCTCGTCCGCCGCTGAATTTGACCGTAATTTGCTTGTCCATGTACTTGCTCAAGTCAAGAATGTTTTCCTTCTTGGGGCGCTCCGTCTGGCCGCCAGCGTGTGCTCCTCCACCGCCGCCGCCTCCACCACCTCCACGACCGCCGCCCCTTGCACCGCGGTCGCCTCCTCTGCCACCGCCTCGGCCGCGAAATGCGCCTCGCTCAGACATTGTATTGGGGTTGGGAGAGAGTGACGAATCTGGGCGATATGTGGAGGGCTTGTGGTGACGTGCGGGCGGGAGCTGGCAACAAAAGAAGGTGGTCTGTGCAGAGGGGCGTGTGTGGCAGGGGACGTGGCTGTGTGTGTGTATGTGTGGCTGTCCCGCCATGTCACGTGATATCTACTAGTGTAAGTAGCCGGGGCAGGCGGAGGCAATCTCCGCCCCTCGCGTCCAGTCCAGACATCTCCGCCGGTGCCATGTTTGTGTTGCAGGCGACGCGTGGGCCCTGTGCCTGCGGTATTTTCGTCGCGTCTCGGGACAGGCCAATGCCGCCGGCGGACCAGGCCTTCTGGGTGTTTGGGCGCCCTCTCATAGGACCGCATAGTACGGCCACGCACAGTTTTGCCGGCGCTCGTGTCTTCAGCACCGTTAATGGCTCAGTTTCAGGCCGTCTCATGGCCGTTGGAGCAGCACAAGGCCGCCGGGCAGTCGGCACCACCTGAATCGCCAACGATGCGCCTCTTATCACAGGGCCGCGCCGGGGCCAGGCCATGCCACAGTGCCCTACTCGCCCCTTCTGATTGGCAAGGAACTCCGCTCTCTTAAAAAGCTCGTCCTTATTTCCGGCGCGCCGCCCTCTGCCTGCCCACCCCTCTCTCTGCTTCTTCCCGTGCAGCCACTCGGGCGCCTTCAGCCACCGACGAGCCGTTCATCTGCCTCCTCGCCCTCGCCCTCGCCCACGCCCTCCACTGCTGTTTCCTCTTCCTCCTCCACCCGCCGGCACTCCTCTCCCCTCCCCTCGCACAGTGCCCCTCTGCGTGACATGTCTCTGCTTCGGTAGCCTGCGGTCTCCGCTCTCCCCTGCAACCCGCCTAGCCCTCTCGCGCCGTGCCCAGCTGAGTTGGCTGCTCGCTAGCGCCCGCCGCTCCGCCGCCTTTGAAAGCTGCCCTTTGCTCATTCCGCCCACCAAAGCAGCAAACCTCGTCAGCATCCCTAGCCTATCTTCCCTCCCCCCCCAGAGGCTTAGCCATGGCCAACAACGACGACCGTCCCATGTCTGCCCACCCGCCCCAGCACCATGCCTCGCACATGCCCAGCGACCTCAAGCGCAAACGCAGTCCCTCGCACGAGATGCACCTGGCGCCTGCGCCACTGCCCAAAACCGCCAAGCACAACCATCTGCAGATCAACTACCTCGCCAGGCACAATGAGAACGACCTGCCGCTCATTACCAACGATGACACGCTACCAAACATCCTCTCGCTGCTCAGCGACTACCAGGGCGTCCTCGACCGCCACGAGAGCATGGCCTGTAACCTAGGCGCTCGCCCTCTGGGTCCCATTCTCATCAAGCGCTTCGAGCGCCTGTTCGACGGTCCCCCCAGAGTCCTCAAGAGCCATGGCAAGGATGGCACCACCGTGTCCTGGCTTGACGTGGTCGAGTTTGCGCGCAATAAGCCCGAGCAGTTTCAACTCGACCAGATGAGCGAGGGCGTGAGGGTCTGCCAGTTCTACACCAAGCAATGTCGGGTCCAGATCTCAGAAGAAGACTTCGTCTTGATTTCATCTGGCATTCCCCAAAAGATGATCCCCCCGCAGCCCATTATCGAAGACGAGGAGAAGGAGCTGGGCACCATGGAGATTCTGGAAAAGAACCTCAGCCAAATATGCTCTTTGGCCGATCAAGGTGAGTCTACTGCTTTCCTTTGTCAACCTTGGCGTCCTGGCCCTCAAGCAAATACACAACTCGCAATCCTTCTTAACTGTTCTGACCAATGCACTCAGTTGCTGCTCGCACGAGGCAGCTCAACCACCGCCTCAAAGGCCGCAAACAGGCAATCCTGGACCGCAGAGCCACTGCGACTCCAACGCCTCAAATTCCCCGCCCTACGAGCCCTTCGAACGTCGCCCTTATGAACGGTAGCAACTCGAATGTCTCAGGCCCAGGTCACAACCAACCTTCGCACCCATCGCCTAGCAGCAGCGGCTTCGTAGCCGTCAATGCGCGCCAGCACCACGAATCCAACGGCCATGGACACAGTCACAGTCGTGGCCATGGTTCTTCGTCCTCTACCCGCCACGAACTGCTATCCAAATTTCATACTGTGAATGACCGGCGTGTGTCGTCGCAGCCTCCCAGCGCCAATGCTGAAGTGCGGAGACCATCGATTGGCAGTCATTCAGCATCTCATCCCTCTCCACCCTCGTCAATCCCATCCAGGGCCCTGCAAAAGCCAACTGAAGCTCCCCCTGGCGCACAACAGCCAATCGCAAGGCCTTCACATCCTCTCAATGAATCCGAGCTGCACAATATGATGAACTCACCCGTCCCAATACCAAACACGCCTTCTAGCCTCCTCCCAGCCTCCAGCCAACGCGCCAGCCAACAACCGGAAAAAGATGACGGAGGTCCTTTCAAAGTTGAAATGGTGCATAGAATGGAAAGTCTTGCCAAGGGCGAGCGCATTGTCCCTCCCTGCGACCGCTGTCGAAGATTGCATATGGACTGCTTGAAAAACCTGACAGCATGCATGGGTTGTACAAAGAAGCATGCAAAGTGCTCGTGGAGAGAAGTTCGGGAAGGCGAATTGCGTGGCGGTTATACCTATCCTACTGGTACCACTAGCAACGGCCAGAGTGAAACAAGTGATCACGAGGCCGGCGACCGTGCAAGCACAGCAAGCCCGTCAGTTATGTTGAGTCCGTCGCACCATGGGCTGACGCCATCACACGTCTCACACAGCAATGGTCAACACACTCCACAACATCAAGCATCTCACCACCAGCACTCTGAACAGGCTATGCAGCCCCTGCAGCAACACGATGCACCGCATGACGCGCAGGCCTCCGCCTCTCGCAACACTCCACCCACGCGCGAGCACGAGAGAAACGTTGAAGCCCAACTCAAGGAGGCCGCGCAATCAAGCCTCGCGCATGCAAATGCAAGGCTCCCCGCATCAGACGGCAAAACTGCAGATTATGCCAACCAAGCCATGGTTGCTTAGGCCCCTATTGACCCACCGATTCTCACGCCCCGAACCAGACAATGTTGCTTTTTGCTTTTCCAGCTACGAGCTTAACGGTTCTCGAGATGGGATCGGGAAACACCAGGTATCAATTGTTTTCTGAAGTGGTTTTCTGACTTTTATTTCTTGTACATTTGTTTGTGATACCAATTTACTTTCTTTCAAACTAGTTTTCTTCTACTAAGGAGATCTCGAAGGCTATTGTTTTGTATATGCGCATGTCTTCATAGTCTAGAAGATGTGTTGGGAAATTGTATCTCCCCATACCAGAAAAAACAATTTGAAAATGTTTATTCTTATTTCGATTGACAACCTATGATCTTGCTACGGTCTTTATGGCTACCAGAACTCCCTCTGCCTTTTCATCACTTCTTCCCTTGCTCCGCCATCATCTCCATGGCCGGCATCGTCGCAAATCGACTCATAACCTCGAGGTTCTTTTCCTTGCTCATGCGCTCATCCGTCTTGCTAATTTCCGCCAATATCTTGAAGTAATCAATATAAAAGGCTGGCGTGTATGTGTTGAAGAATTTGGCGGGCTCGTTGGTTGGATTTGAAAATGTGTGAGGTGCGCGGATCGGGGCCGTGATGTAGTCGCCTACGTGGGCGTCGATTATTTCGCCGTCTGGGCCGTGGAACTAAAGTTTTCTTTCAGCGTGTGAACATTGCAAGGTAGTAGTGGTTATGGTAGGAATAATAATAATAAGAACACGACGGAAACAAAAACAACGATGCAGACAATAGTAATACTACCAATCGGCAAGAACGAAGACAACGATAAATAACAAACAAAACATACCCTAACCACACCCTGAGTAACCAAAAACGTCTCATCATGCATCTCGTGCCAGTGCGCAGGCGGACCCGGAGTATTTGGCGGCAGAGTAAACTCGGCGCTGCCTATGCGGTTGTCGGTTCGTGAGCCGTCTTCCATGATACGGCACGTGATGTGGCCTAGTTTGAGAATCTCGCCAGATGAAGCCGGAACGAAGTTGATGGGGCGGCGCGGCATCTTCATGCTGGCTAGCGCTTGGCGGGCTTCGTCATCCATGGTTTGTGTGGGTGGTGAGAGTTTGTCCTGGTGAGTCTGGAGTGTCGAAGTCCAAAGGCAGGGTCAACCGGGTAAGTAGAGCAATAGATGGAATATATGTCATTGTAGGAGCAATAAAATCCTTCGAGTATATGTGTGTGTCATGATGGTGGGCGTTGTCGCTCGACTCGGTCTACTGGACTTTGCTACTGCGGAGAGCCGGAGGAGATACAAAGGTATTTGGGGGTATTCATTCTTGGGGAACCGCCGGTCCTCGCAAAATCGAGAATGCGAGTGAGGTGGGTACAAACACAAGACGGACTAATCCAAACGGCATTGCCGAAATGGAACCTCTTCATTTAGATGCTGATCTTCCACCATGGTGAGAGGATAGCGTTGCACTGTGGGTCCGGCGTCTTAGCTCTTGCGGAACGGAAATAGGCCGACGCGTCAGACAAGCGAAAGGACTAGTATCTTAGTATTATTCTACTACTTTTGATGATGGTTTGGTGGTGTCTAGCTGTTTCAGTTCTGCGAGAGCCGAGTTACTACATAAGTAAGTATGCTTGATGTGGGGGTGTGGGGAGGGAGGGGGGATGTGATCGGGCCGGGCTTTGGTGGCGAGTATGGCTGCCTAGTCATGACCCTGGTAAACCGTAGGAACGCATCTACTACACCTAGATTGCTACAAACAACTTGATTTCCACATCAACCCTCACACACATATCTTCACTCATTAAAAATCGTCACCATGGCGAAAAAGCTATGGACCATGCTGGAAAATAACCCCCTTGTCATGAACCATCTCGCACAAGATCTTGGTCTCGATACATCTGTCTTCTCTTTCCATGATGTCTACTCCCTCACTGACCCAGAAATGCTGGCTTTCATTCCCAGACCCGTCTTAGCACTGCTAGTCATCATACCGCTCACGCCAACTTGGCACGAGGCGCGCACAATAGAAGACAAGGACAAGTCCGAGTATGCAGGCAAAGGAGAAACAGAGCCCGTCATCTGGTTCAAGCAAACCATCGGCAACGCTTGTGGCAGCATAGGCTTAGTCCACTGTCTCCTCAATACCCCAGCATCAGACCATATCCAGCCTTCTTCCCCTCTTGACCAGATTCGTGTCGGTGCGCTGCCAAAACCCATCTGGGAACGAGCCAAAGTACTTGAGGATTCGGATGCCTTCGAAAAGGCTCATGCTGGTGCGGCAAAACTTGGCGATACTGCTTCACCTACACCCACATCAGATGAACATAGCGGACAGCATTTTGTCGCGTTTGTCAAGGCCAAAGATGGGCATTTGTGGGAGCTTGAAGGCGATCGCAAGGGTCCCCTTGATCGGGGGTTATTGGGCGATGATGAAGATGTGCTTAGTCCTGGGGCGCTGGAGAAAGGGATTGGGAGGCTCATGAGCATTGAAAATGGAAAAGGCGGGGATCTAAGGTTCTCCGTAATTGCCCTTGCGCCAAGCTTCACATAGCATGATCAAGTAGCCCTGTTATGGATGGGCACGAGATCAAGTTTTTATCTCTCTCTCCCTACTTGGCCCATCCGATTACAGCGTTTCACATATCATTCATCGGTAGAGTTGCCATTTATTCTATCTTTTACAGGAAAGACTAGACAGATTCGTATGTCTGCATTGCTTGGCACAGTATCATCCCTGCCATTGCCTGTTTACTTACTTGATGTATGTACATGTAAAAGGACACTTTGGACTAGCCGAAGCGGTTGGCTACCGCGGGCCGGATAATGGCTGCCGCGAGCCGAAATATAGTTGCCGCAGTGGAGACTTTTGCCTGTTGTGACGACATAAGGACATATGACGCAAAATTGACCGGAATGTCGCTGGTCCCGGATCCGTCCTTCATACGCACCCTTGCCCTACCAGTGCTGTTCATTCTAACAAACATAATGACCCGCAGCGATTCGGCCCGCCCCTCGCGAGCCCCATTGCTTACGCCACATAAAATAAACCATGTGTAACATCTTATTGAAGAGCAGTATGTCTGCTGACGAGATACTGAACGCCAGTTGCAAAGCAGAATGGTAGTCACCAAAGCTGAAGCATATGTCCCCGCTCAAGATGAGTCCAAGTAGGGCTTGGAAATCCTTCCACGACTAGGAAGCCAAGCATTGGCGCGTATGTTGATGGATATGATCCGATGAGCCATGTCAATCATCCTGTTTTAGTGGTCGAAGCTCAGTGATAGTGAAACTGTATGTACACTAGTATGGGGGACAGGGAAGACCTTGCAGATGCATACCCCACCAAGCCTGTGCATGGGCTGTTTTCTTGAGCCCGATATAATCAAAGACAGTATAAGTGGACAAGGCATGAGTGGGTTTTCATATATCAATTGACAGGCTGCCATTGATCCTTGCTTCTTTGAGTGTGTACCAAGCTCGTATTGGTGTGGTCAAACCTCACGACAGTCACTACCAAGGGTACCTTGACAGGATCTCCTACGCATGAAAGATCCGCTCTTTGTAGTACAACTTACGACGACGGTTTAGGACCAACGGAATATGCTGTTCCCGATCCCGGTACTAGAAAAATATGAGGTGTTCTTCCCATATAAAATATGGATGTCCTAGCTGTGCTCTACGCTATCAGTCACAGGCAGCTTCATCGCCCGGCCCTTGCCCAGCATGACGGTCCCAAGCTCCTCAAGTCTACCTGATTTTCTATCCGAACCTTCATTTACTACAATCAAGCAGGCTTTCCCTGTGATCACCACAATATCTCTAGCTATTGTTGCTTTGATCTCGTTCGTTGTTTTTACCCAAAGATCGAAATATCCTATCGCCAATGCTCCTGCCTGGTTAGAACTCACTACACTCAGACGTATGAAGTATATGAAGGACGGTCACACGGTACTTGACAATGCTCTAAAGCAATATGGCGAAAAGCCCTTCAAGCTCTTGACCAACTCGGGCATGGTCACTGTCTTCCCACCTGAGTACGCAAACATGATTCGCAATGAGCGTCAATTGGTATTTGCCAAAGCATTTGCACATGTCGGTTTAAAATCTTATGCTGTAGTGATTTGCTTAACTAATCTACTGCTCAGGATTTTGCAGCCAAAATGCCTGGTTTGGAACCGTTCAATTTCCTTGATCTGCCAGACAGAGTTATACAGACGGTATCCAAAAAGCAGCTTACCAAGTCCTTGAGTAAGGAAGTTCTGGTCAAAACGTGGATGGTTAGAAGCTAATGCATGTGTTCAAGACATAATGACACAACCATTGTCCAATGAGTCCATTTTGCAATCGACAAGATATTTGGCAATAACACAGGTAAGTAGTGTATTCATATCTCAAGATTTACAACTGATCATTTGTTAGAATGGAAAGAGATCATCATAACAGATTCCATTCTCCAACTGATCGCTCGCCTGTCAGGTAAGGTTTTTCTTGGTGATGAGCTATGCCGAAATGAATCTTGGCTCGAAGTCTCCAAGAATTACACGGTGCTCGCTGTGGGTTTTAGTAAAACGAGTTCCTTTCTTCCTGGACCACTAAAGCGTGTATGGTCTTGGTTCGTGGATGACAGCAAACTTATCCGGAAATATTTTAAAGAAGCACGCGATATCTTAGCACCAATTCTGGAAAACCGCAAGCAAGCCAAGGCAGAAGCAGAGAGAAAAGGCAAGTCCGCCCCTGTCTACAATGACATGCTAGAGTGGCTGGAGCAAGAGGGTCAAACAGACGTGAGCAATCTTGTTGCATGCCAGATGTTGCTCTCGGTAGCCGCTATCCACACCACCTCGGAGTTGTTGAACCAGACAATGTTGCATCTGGCAAGCGATCCCCGCCATATTGAAGACTTGCGAAAGGAAATCATTGAGGTTCTCACTGCCGACGGCTTGAGCAAGGCAGCGCTCTCCAACCTAAAGCTCATGGACAGTGCTATAAAGGAAACTCAAAGACTTACCCCAGTTAGTTACTGTGAGTACCATCCGCTAATTGCTATGAATACGGGACAACAGAAATCGCTAACCTGTGTGTTAACCAGTATCAATGAGAAGGATTGCAGCGGAAAAGGTCACGCTCGCGGATGGCACGGTCATCAACAAAGGTGATTACACGGTTGTAAACGGTAAAACCATGGCCGACCCGCAAATTTGGCTCGAACCAGAAAAGTACGACATATACCGATATTACCGCCTGCGACAAGACCCTGTTACAGCCAACAAAGCCCACTTGGTCTCTACCAGCCCCAATCACATGGGATTCGGCCATGGGGATCAAGCGTGCCCTGGCCGTTTCTTCGCTGCCAACGAGATCAAGATTGCAATATGCCATCTTTTGCTAAAGTATGACTGGGAACTTGCACCTGGTGCAAACGTGGCGCCAGTCCATGCGTTTGCTGAGACCATGACCATCGATCCGAACAACAAGGTACGATTCAGGCGCCGCCGGGAAGAACTGGATCTAGAGTCTTTGTTTTCCAAATAAGGGCTTGGCCATTCCTTAGCGTATAGACTCGGAACGTGTCAGCATGTACGCAGTTTCCGGTGTTTCCTTGTTTACAGTTGCGCTGTGTGCTAAGAAAATTGAACGCGAAATTGATTATGTGTTGGTTTACTGGTGTAGTTTCCTTTGTATGATGTAGTAGGGGTTTCTTCTCGTAGGGGGACTTTGTGGTAGAAAGAATCTCATTTGTGCAACGAATTTCACCAGTAAACGAGATTTTACATACGAGACATACGAGAATGCTTATATCTCACTATCTTCTACTGGCCTGTAGTTTGAGGTTCAAGATCGACATTTATATGTTTGGTTCGGGTTGAAGCTCCGACACAGCGCTCACCGGTTCTTTGCTGCGGCGCAATGCCGGAACCAAGAAAAGCAACAGAAATAGACAAGCGATCAAAAAGTAGTAGTAAGAGTGATGGATCTGGCCGAGCTACTGGGCAATTGGGCTTAGTACAGGGTATCTGCCAAGGCGTTATGCCTAACAGTGGGACAAGTGCTTATGCTATAACATCCTTGAGGGTATGGATCTAGGCCTTGTGGAAATCGTCCTAAAAAAAGCTTCTCAACGGTCGTTCCCATGTCTCACATCAGTCCAGGTCGTATTCCGCATGGGATAGTGTATCCCGCGTTCCATCAACTCACGCCACTGAACACGAGATGTAAGTACATGTTCAGAGTTTTGACTCACGGGGTAATGCCGTGTGACGTAAGTATTTAAGTAAGTTTGTGAAGAGAAATTCTTCCATCCACTCAGTCTCTTTGAGTTGCAGCCATTCCTTTCTTGAACAAGTTCGGGCCGGCCCCGCGAAGCTTACCCCACAAACCAGCGTCTTGGTTACTTTGGTACTATGCTTACTATGTACATGCGCACTTGTATCGCGAGCCCTATCGTCCAGACTTACCATTAGTACACCGATCCGTTGGGCAATTAGTGCGTCATCTTTATACTAGGCGATTTGTTGTGACTACACAGTTCAGTCCAGCGGTCATGGATTCGTCAGAAAAGGTCCGTATGTATAGTTCTTGCAACGTTTCAAGAGCCGTTGTAAGACCCACTACTACGTATTCGGTGAGCGTCGGGTGAGGAAGAAGTGCCGAACTTCGATTGTGCCTTTCAAAAAAGCCGACATTCAGGCAGACGTTGGCGTTATGAAGGCCAATTTACCGATTCAAGCCAACCTACTACATTTGGTCGAATTCCCCGCTTTAAGAAACACATGGAAGATACTGCAGGGATTGTATGGCGCCAAAACTGAGTGATGTGCACGTTGAGCCGATCACTTTCCGCATTGAAAATGTTTCGGAAACAATGCACGGTAGTAGTTTTAATCAATCCGACGCGAGGTGCCGCTTGAGGTCCTTGCGTTCGGAGGATAATTTTATGCTGCTTCTTCCATCTCATGTGCTGCCTCGCTGTTAAAGACGCTTACGTTATTTTGTAAAGTTATTTTAGAGCTTTGCAACGGTGGGTACTCTGGAAAACTTAGGGATATCAATGATTGTCAACACTATGCATGCGTAGAATTAATGCTCTGTTTCAGGCAGGTTTTGCTGAAGGGGATGTTGGCCCGTTCCAATTAACAGGGATGGCCAAGGAAAGCTGTTGAAACAGGACATAGCTCGACATCTGGGATAGCGCATGACCTTCCTTGTTCTTTAGACACCGATCGGACTGAGGCTTTGAATCATTCCAAAATTGCTTTCAAGAATGATCAGGCGGGTCCTGTGTACTTGCAGGTGATATCCCGCCCCCAGCATAGTCAGTAAAGTCTATTGCACTCTAGGCTCTTGGAATGCAGTCATGGAGTGAAGGATCTGGTATGACAGGAGATACTTAGAAAATAAATACGAACATAAGCAAAACCTTCGTATAGACTCCAATACAGCAGGTTGAATACCTCAAAGGGTAAAACCGTATTAATATAGTATCTGCTGATCCGTGCGCAACCGACGTAGAGTGTTTAGATGAGGGGTGTACTCATCACAACGGTGGGTGGAGAAAAGGTCCCTGACCATGTCTAGCATGCATGGAGATCCCGTCGCGGATCCAGCGCACATAAAAGGAGCAAGACATCCGCACAGAATTGCTGTTACCACACTCGCACCTCACATCTGCCCAACATGCACTCCACAACTACTCTTATCAGCACCATTGCCGCCATCTGCGCAACTGCCAATGGCGCCCTCACCCGTGTCAACAACTTTGGGTCCAACCCAACGAACCTACAGATGAACATAAACGTTCCAGCAAAATTGGCCACCAAGCCCGCCGTCATCCTCGCTGTGAGTATTCAGTGATCGTTGATAGACGAGCTCAAAACTGACAAATGTAGCTGCATCCTTGCGGAGGTTCTGGCGAAAGTTACGCGGCATCGACAAAGTACAACACCCTCTCAGAGCAAAAGGGCTTCATCACCATCTTCCCTTCGACCAAAAAAGACAACAACTGCTGGGAAGTCAACACCGCAAAGGGTCTCTCTCACGATGCGGGCGGCGACAACCAAGGCCTCAACAACATGATCCAATATGTCATCAAGACGTACTCCGCCGACCCAGCCAAGGTCTTCGTCACTGGCAGCAGCTCTGGATGCATGATGACTAACGTCATGATGGCCACCTATCCCGACGTTGTCAAGGCCGCAACTTGCTACTCTGGAGTGGCAGCAGGTTGTGTAGCCGGTAGCCCAGGAGCCAGTCCCAGCACCGCTGACCCGCGCTGCGCAAACGGCCAAGTCATCAAAACCCCGGCTGAGTGGGGTGCGCAAGTCAAGGCCATGTACCCAGGCTTTAACGGCCAATATCCCCGCTTTATGACCTACCACGGAACTGCAGACACCCTCGTCAAGTACCCCAACTTGGGCGAGCAGCTCAAGGAATGGAGCAATCTGCTCGGTGTGTCTTTCACAAGGAATGTTACAAACACTCCCCAGAATGGCTACACATCCATGATCTACGGCGACGGCACGAAGCTTGTAGGTGTTAGCGCACAGAACGTTGGACACATTGTTCCCACTCATGAGAATGAGGACATGAAGTGGTTCGGTCTCTAAGCCATGTCAATTATTGACCGGCGAGGAAATCTCACATGTATCCATTGGTGGGCGTATATCACTGTCAGAGGTCCACATGTAAATATTGCCAAACGCTACCTATCCGGCTTTCTTCAGCACGTATATATTCAAATATCTTACTATATGACAAATTGCTCTGCATATAGGTGTTGCGACATGTGACTTTCTTAACGTGACGTGGTGAATCGCTGTGCATACCACCGAGTCATCTTCCGTAGACACAAACAATAGCTACGTCACAAAAATTGAGCAAAATACAAAATCAATTGCTGTGATTCGTCTGGTCGTGAAAAATTGGAATTAGTCCCTAGTTTCAACATCATTAGCTGTACCCATCACAATTTCAAGGTTCTTCTCGCTGTTTTCCCACTCCTCTTTAACTAGGTCAAGTACCCATTGTCCCCGAGGCTTCAGATGGAACTTGAAAGGCTTCGGTTCAACCATGAACCCAACCACCAACATAGACAACGGATCCACATCCTCCCCCTCGACAGCTTCTATATCGAACGCCCAAAGTGAACAGGCAATATTTAAAAACGCTCCATCAGTAGCGACACGCTTTCCCTGACATATCCTTCTTCCTTGACCAAACACAGGGAGTGGGAGGTCATTCCGAACCTTCCCATTCCGCAACCAGCGCTCAGGTACGAATTCCTCCACATCCCCCAGGGCCCCATCAAACACGTTCTTGTCGCGGCCAATCGCCCACGCATTCGCCATGATGGTAACCCCTTTTTTAATTTCTACACCATCGTATTTATCCGCCCAATCAGCGCGCCGAGGAATCGACCCCGGAGAAACTGGCCGCCAGCGAAACAGCTCAAGCGCGACCGCGTCAATGTACGCGAGGCTGCTGCGGTCTGAAAATCTGGGGAGACGAGTTCGGCCCACGACGTCGTCGAGCACGTGGTGCGCACGAGTGACGAAGTCCCGGTTGCATAGGGCTGCGACGAATAGCCAAAGTAGTTGACGTGGCGATGTCTCCATGCCGCCTTGTATCGATGTTGCGAGTGTGAAGGCGAGATCGAGGTCTGCTACTGGCTGGCTTGCGGGAGCATGCTTTGCGGCTGTTGCGATAGCTTGCTTTGTAGCATTCCAGCCCGGTTTATCTCTACCGTGATGAAAGAGGTGCATGTAGAGATCGACTTGGGAGGCAAACAGCTTGTCAGCATACTGCTGCCATGGGGAAACAATAGTCGGCAGATAGCGCAGGAAAGGTATCAGATCTGGGAGCTGAGGATTTGCGGCAAGGTGAGTGACTTTTGCTTGGGTGTCAATGACTTTTTGCAATATCGGCTCCTCAATCTTAGGTATGCGAAGGCCGTAATGAAGACCTAAGATAACGCTAGATTGAGTCCGCTCGAGCAAAGGACATAAGGCCTTTGTAGTAATTGTGGAACCATCAGCAGACTTTTCTAGAGCAGCGCTGATGTCAAAAAGCAACTGCTTAGCCTCTAGTTCCATCAGCGGCTGGTACTTGTGCGCTGCAGGCGCACCCAGACTTGGTGAGAGAACGCGATGATGCAGCTTGAGATGGTCATCATAGTCGTGCATCAGCGTAAAGCGAGAGCGTCCTGGCTTTGCTCCAGTGATCATTTCCATACTCACAGAAGCTGGTCGGTTACTATACCATTGGCTGCGGCGACCGAAAAGCTCGGTGACGGCTTCATACGAATTGAGAACAACAACAGGTACAACACCGAATAGTTTCGCAATCGCAATCGGCCCATTCTGTTCGGACCATGCACTCCAGTTTTCCAACGGCCTATCTATCGGCGAGCTGTGGATATCGCCAATAAGTGGCAGCTTGAGGAGCGGCTTCTCCTGTGCATCGCACCGCTTGTTGTTGTTGGTATAGAAGTAAGTCGCAGTCAGTGCGCCGATAGCTAGAAAGACTACTAGTGCAGAGTTGGACATTGTGGTAGCTGATGATGGGAGCCTTCTGAGGGCCTGTTCGGTTCTCAGTTTTCCGTCTCCATTTTATTCCCGTTTTAGGTTTAGAGTTCCAATAGAGGAGTGCTGGCTGGCCTTACAGCTAGGCTCACGTCATAGTCACCTTGTAGGGTAGGCTACTATAACGAGCAAAAAATTGAACCTCCGTTTCGTCTAAGAAGGAGGGGGTGAAGAATAAATCAACGCTAAGCACGGGTTACTTTAGCATAGAAGCGCTAGCACTTTCTAGCGCCGTCTGATAGTAAGCATCTTTCCGAGTGCCTATCGAAGTTTTACCCGATCTTCACACGACGAGAGTATGATCCCATCAAACCCCTGCCCCATTTACGAGGCCAATACTATATTTTTTCTGTCACTGTAGCCGATCTCACTTCGTCATCAACGCACACCAATGTGAACTCACCAAGGAATGTGCGACTTGATTTAGACCTCTTATGCTTGTGTACACCTTACAGTAGGATCACATGGCCACCAAGATAATCTAAACGCGCGGTCAAATGTTAGTGCGTAGCATAAATTTTACCCCTACATGACTTGCTGGCATCGCCATCAACCTTCGGTCGCTGAAACTCGTAGCCGAGCGTGGTGTTTTCCTATGAATTTCCGGCGAAATAAAGCATTACGGCAATCTTATATCCCAAAATTATCTACGGGCATACAGAAGACGTTACGTGCAAAGAGGACTATAAAGCCATCTCGTTTCTCTCCAAGCAAATTGTACTCTTGCCTCATTGTGTGGTGTTGAGTCTCAGCTACTCCGAGATGTTCATTGCGGTGTCTGCGTATCCAACTCGTTGCAGTCGCTTTATTTGCTCGCAGCGTACACATATTCAAAGAGCGCGTTGCTTCTGCAATATCCATAGCTGTGTTTTTTTGCTAATCTATGTTCCGGTCCTTCATCCTGTTAGCTCAAGGATAGAGATAGCCTTACAGAGTATGGAAGCTAGTATCACGGTTTCAAGCTTGAAAATCCGGATCAAGAGTTAGGTTCGGACGTGGCTACGCGTAGTTCCCTCTCCGGGACTGAAAAGATTTTTTATATCTATTTCTCATCCATCTCGCTTTTGGTGCACAGCTGGATAAATCGAGAGATTGGGATTGATCGTTGAACTAGGCTTAAAGATGTAGAACTTATCATTATGCTACCTGTTACACTAAAATAGAGGCCGGGCAGTTATATGTTACATTGATAGCATCGCTCAGACCTTATAAATTCGAAACGTGGCTGGACGAGAATGTCTGCACCTACAATTATCCGAACCTATCCTAAGGAAGTTATCTTGGCATGAAGTCCTCGTCGCAAAATTTCAAGTTTCGCGAATCTGAACTATAGTTCAGCTTGAAGTCGCAATTCTTGCAAACGTCTAGGATGTCACATTGGATGTTTCTGTAACCCTCTCGATAACTTCGCTCATGAGTACCTGTTCCACACTGGTGTCTGAGCAACACCTTGCGAAACCATGCCAAATGTTCATGGACTCTGTTCATACCAGGCATCATCAAAGTAGGTTTGATCGAAACGTACGATTTCCATTGAGGATCTGACACGATCCAGAGTAGGATCTTGCTGTCAATCGAGCTCACTCCCGAACGGAAAGACTTTTTCTTATCTGACCATTTGCAGTCCCAAAAGACAATTATCATCCTAACTAGATGTCGGATTACCCATTTATCGTTGACTTCTTCAGATACTGGGTTCGTGATATAAGCACATATTCCAGTGGGCATCGCTTCTGTGTTTACGAAAACACAAGCTTGGGTAGGGTCTAAAGAACGATGAGGCTCCACGGTAAGCGAATGAACAGTCTTGGTATATCGAAAACACGTTGCGTAAATTTTGTAAAGCTGCGCTCGCGGTTTCTCACAAGTGTTCTCGATGAAAGAGTTCAGTCTTCTGGCATAGTTCGTGGTCTCGCGGCTGTCGTGGAAACCAAGGACGACACGATCTGACAGCCTGTCATAGTCAGATGCGGTGACACAAAGTACACTAGTTTGGCTGGTGGCGTAACGCTGGAAGTAATTCTCGTGGCTCGAAGCCCAGGCTTCGCGCAGCTTGAGTCCAAGTTCGTCAGCCGAAGCGATCAGCTCATTTTGGTCCAATGTTTGCTCCAGGATCCAAATTTTCTTGGCGACTGATTCAGTGAGAGCAAGATACGTCAATTCCCGTATGAGCATACCGTCACCATCTTTGCGATACTGCACATAGAGAGAAATCAAGATCCTCTCTGTCGAAAGATCTTGCATGTCCTTGATCTCTTGGCTCCCTGTCCAAGCTTGTTCGATAGTCTTGATGTCCTGGGCGTGTGGTAGAAGGAACCAACAACGACTCATATGAACCGTTTCCAACCTTCGATAGCCCGTGTTCGTAAGATGTTCGTTAGCAGCAGTGTTGTTTCCGGTGATGTACAGCCCTCGTACTCGTGCCACATACTTGGCGCCTTCCCAGACCCTGATATCAACATGTGTTCCTATGTCCTCAAAGAGGGGTTGGAGAGAAGACTCAATGGTGGAGTCCATTGCATCGAAGGCCGGTTCCTTGGGCACCCCAATTGTCTCAGCTCCGCTAATGGTAGCGACAGGTCTGTCGCCATACCAAGAGTTTGCATAACCCGGTATTGAGAGAATGTCGGGTTCTTCGATGATTGTGTAAGATGATCGCGAGCCTTTGTCTACTACAGACATCAGTTGTCTTATGATACTGGGCCGGAAGATATCACGCGCCCAATCAACGATGTAGTCCACAATTAGAACCAGTTGAAGTGCTTCGTCATAGCCAGTAACACTCCCTTCCCATAGAAGAACGATATTCTGCTTCTGTGTCAACAAAGGCATCGAATAATATGTGTCAACTCACATAATAGGGCAGATCGTCCGGGCTAGACTTTGTGACATAACATCCGTATACCCTCCACATCTCACCAATATACGCAAGAAACCAAGACAATGGGCCCCCTGGTATCTGCATCCTGTTGAATTCATCGTCTTGGAGCTTGAGTTGTAGGTACAGATGATTTCGTATCGGTACTGCCGTTTGTCTCTCAATATCCTGAAAATTGCTTTTGCTTTTGAGGCTTTTGGCTTCCATTACTAAGAAAGGATATATCGAGGCTCTTCCACCACTATCTGGATTGCAGCTTATAGTCAATCTATTGAGCAATTCATCGATCTCAGGGTCTTCTCCTAGGTGGGAATTATGTTGTCGCTCTAGAATCTTCTCCATGGCCTCTGTAGTTCTCAGCCCATAGATTCGATCAGGTTGCATCTCTATCCGATGATGGTTTTCGGGGTCATTCTGTATTACGCTTCGCTCGCCAATACGAGTAGTGAATATGTCGCTTAGTCCTGTGCCCAGACTAAGTTCGTGATTAGTTGTGATTCGTTTGCTTGGTGACTTCATCGACTTACATGCTATACTGTTTTGACAATGGCTCACATTCGCATACCGAACGACGTTTTTGACGTTCTGCGAGGGTATTTGTTCGGCTGTTACTTTCTATCGGATTGATCTCGACAGAGGATTGCCACAGCCGTTTGCGACACTGCTGACTACCTTCGATCAGCATACGAGATCTGGAACAAATCGAGCTCGGAGTTTGTCATACCATGCAACTTCGATTTCAAATCGTTCAAAGATCCGATTCTCAAGCTCCATGCGCCAGCCGTCTTCGTTCTGATACGTGCTTCTCGCTTGAGTAGCCTTCTGGCTTACCCGCTTGGCCCGCAGCTTGTTTTCAAGCTCCCATGGCTTATTGGTGATATCAGGTCGAGGCTGTACTGCATATGACTCGTAAATCATCTGGCCCAATTGCTGAATGTGCTGGAACTTCGTCTGATGTTGTTCGGGAACATTTCCCGGATGCTCTGGGCAGTACTTCCGTGGGTGGAACATGATGCGGAACTCTTTGATGATCTTCTCGTTATCAATAGCCTTTTGGACGTCTGTTGAATTGTCTAAAACAACATCCATCGACTTTCCCTTCCTTTTCTTTGACACTGAATTCGACTGCAAATTTGACGTTCCATCTCTTTTTCTCTTACTTCTATCACCAACAACAATTTTTTGGCCTTGCGTATTGCCCTTGGCTCTCAGATTTGGAGCCATGAGTGCTGGAGCGGAAAAGGTAGTGGGATTGGATGGCTTCGGCCTGAGTGCTTCGGGATGTAAATCTAATAGGAAAACTTTCGAAACTTTGCTACTAGATAACAAGTCGTGACAAAATATGGCACGGTTGGCGCTATGAAAGAAGTAGCCAAAATAGCCGGTCAGGGGGATGCATCGATACCACGCTTGTTGGGGCCAAAGAGCCCCCGCAAAGATCCTTCATGCAGGGGCGTGTTTTGATGCATGCGCTTGAGACTCGCTGCTAATTACCTTCCGCCCCAGAATCTCTCAATCTTAACCTAATTGTACTTCTCCCACTCTAGCGCAGGCGCCACAAATGTTGGTTGTCTGAGCGTGTTCGTGCATTCACGTGTCAATCACTCTACTTCTAACACACATCCTCCGTCTCTGCTGTAAGTAGGTCCCGGGAACATACCACATTGACCAGCTGAGCTTCTTTCGCCTCAAGGCTGCGCGTGAACAGGAAGTGTCTGACTATTTTTGTGATGTACGAGGCTGGCGAGTAGTTGATTTCGTATCACTAAGTTTAAAACTAATCGAGCTGCGGAATCGTCACAATCGCAGCGGTATCAATTTCGTATTCACCGTGCCAGTAAGTCTCTATTCATCTTTTGAAGCCTTGGAAATCGGGTTTATAGCGTAGTATCCATTGTGCATGGTGGTGCTGTCACAAGATGGTCGTCGTGGCTTGCAGAGCTCACCCATTCGGCAAATACCAACTTTCCGCCATACGTAAGTGACGTCAGTAGTTCACCATGGCGAGAGGCTTATTTTGTAAGGACGAATAAAGCCAACGGGGTGCTTGTGGGGGATACTGGCCCACCATTTTTGCATATCAAGACTTTTCGGACCATGCAAATATTCTTTACCCGCTGCATATCATTATGATGCTGAAGATGGCGCGAGAATTGACTTCGTAACCTGAAGTCGATTAATTAGCGGTTCTTTTGCTTGTCAAAAGACAAAAAAACCCTGGTCCATTGTAAAGAAATATACCATTAACATATATCAACCGTACACTTGACTCCACTAATGTCTGACCAAACGATGTGGTGACCATGTGTAAACTCTACCGAGGAAGTCTCATAGATGCAACGAAGATAGAACATGAAGATACTACTGAAGTTGGCTGCTCAACCACCCTCGAGACATATCGTAGCGTTAACCCGGTCACACGACAAGAACGAACATCTCCCGTTTTTCAGGGAAGCCACTTGACGTATGCGCCAAGGCGTTGTTTGGACATGCTCTACGGGATGGCCAAAAATCAACACATGTTGTCCACGCGGGAGTCTCCAAAGGGGTTTTATTCGGGTCAGCCACTGCCATGTCGACATGCAGCCATGTTATGTCGTGCTTTCTAGCAGCATTAGCAGGGAAACATTGTGTGCAGTCTAGCACACGGGTGATAGTTTCGATCCAACGAGACCGCTTCATGCAGCGTGTAAGAGTGTCGAAAAAGACCAAGTCTGATGCATCTTTTTCGGAGTCTGTCGGCTGGTCGGGTTCAGCCCTGCTAGCGCGTAGCGAGGGGCACAGCCAACCCCACCACCACATTGCCATCTTGGCCGTTCGCAACCCACTTAGTGACATCAAGCTTGCTTGCCTTCAAATCATTGCGCTGCATGGATTTTGTACACTAACCTATTTCCATTTCTCTTACGCCTGCGCCTAGATCAGGGCAGTCGCTCTGCTTGCATTTCCTTTGCGCCACCACTGGCTGACCCCCGGTTACTGGCCGCAGCATGGCCAACGCCGCTTGGAATTGCTGGGCCCACTAGTACTTGTTAATCAGTGTCGCCAGTAGGGATTTTGTGTTCAACAGCAATTGTGGATTTCGGCAGGTGTACCATCAGCGATCGGCAGTTTCCTGTTGTCTGGGTTAGCCGTATAAGAGTCTGCTAGTGCCCCTCTTGTTTTTCTTTTCTCAAGGGAAGGCTTAGCGTGCGCTGTTGTATAGATTGGAAACCATCCGGACCTCTCTCTTGACTACCATCCCCTCACCAAGTGCTTCATCAAGCACATATCTTGTCTATTGTAGGATACTTGGAACACGGATTCTGCAGCACATTCGACGGTCGCCCATCATGACGAGCAAACCAATCTTTGTAGCGACCCATCCACGAGCATGCTCAACCGCCTTTGAGCGGGTACGCACCACGCCATTCTTTTCCCCTGCTCACAAAACAAGGTTCTCACTGTCATCTAGGTTTTCATGACACGTCACGAAACACTTCAATGTGTTCACGAGCCGTTTGGCGACGCTTACTATTTCGGCCCTGAACGTCTTGCTGAGCGCTATGAGAACGACCCAAAAGCCAGGAAAGAGAGCGGTTATGAGGAGAGCACCTACAGGACCATTTTCGACCGCATCGCGAGAGAGAACGAAGAGGTTCGTTTGCTAATATTTCTTTGTGTCACTACAGTGTCGTCGCCTCTCTTTTCACGATATCTCACCCCTGAAGTCCTTTTTAGTGCTATCTCCAGCGTCTCGACTGTATGATCCGTCGCTTTCTTTTCTTATGGGGTTTTTTAGGAGTTTTCTTTTTCGTATACGTCGTTTGTTTATGTCTTTTTGTTTTTCTCCGAACCTTCAATTCTCTCCTCTCGCTCAATCATTGCATTTATCAGCACGACTAGGCTACGGATTTCCAATTCCTGATGCTTTTTACATGCCAAGACCGTTTGCACGAAGCCCAGAAAAATCATTTATACTTGTATGAATTGGAGATGATGACAGGCTTCTCCCATACCAGCTCCATGAAGATAAATTTCTGGCAGGCACTTTCACATTCTTCTTTCTAGTTTGTCATTGGTTTTCCAATATTAGCACAACATGAATTTCCTCATGCCATCACCAAATCTCAAACTCACCGACGCCTAGGGAAAACGCGTTTTCATAAAAGACATGGCCCAATACTGGATTCCACCTTCCGGAAAACCGGCGACCATTGCGCCATCTCTCTCCAACTACCGCCGTGGGGTAGGAACAAATACGACAGAGCTCTCGCCGGTCCCCACACGCTCTGACCCTTCCAAGCCACTGTACCCATACGACACCAAAGGCGAGCCCGGAAACCCAACCGTGATCCCCAAAGACCTCCTCGCCACATACCACTTTACTTTCTTGATCCGCCACCCCAAATACAGCATCCCGTCATACTACCGATGCACAATCCCTCCTCTGGACGCCATGACTGGCTTCTACAACTTCCGTCCCGACGAAGCAGGCTACGAAGAGCTCCGCCGCCTCTTTGATTTTCTACGCGCAGAAGGACAAATCGGACCAAAGTTTGCGGGTCAAACCGACGAAACGCACAAAGAGCAGACCAACGGGCACACGGGCGGCGTGGAGATCTGCGTCATCGATGCCGACGATTTGCTGGACAAGCCGAGTGAAATGGTCGAGGCGTTTTGCAAGACAACGGGTATCGAGTGGGATCCTGGTATGCTGCAGTGGGACTCGGAGAAGGATCAGAGTATTGCTAAGGAGGCGTTTGAGAAGTGGAAGGGGTTCCATGAGGATGCCTTGGATAGTGATCGTCTGAGGGCGAGGACGCATGTAAGTCGCATTCTACCATGTTGCTGTGGTTAGGGATTTGTTTTTGAGGAAATTGGCGATTAACGATGAGTAGAAGAAACAGCCCAAGTCAGATGAGCAAATGTTTGAGGAGTGGAAGGAGAAGTTTGGCGAGGAGGGCGCAAAGATGATTCGGGATACGGTTGCGGCGAATGTGGAGCATTATGAGTACTTGAAGCAGTTTGCTATCAAAGTCTAGGCGAATGCGGAAGAGAAAATCTCCACTTGAGAATATGACTTTTTAGTTTATTTCCTTTGCTTGTAAAGCTCAGATGGGATACAAAGGAGAGATAGAGAGGGAGGAATAAAAATACATTATGCACACAGCTGAATGTGCAAAGTAAGCAAATTGCCCGCATAGTTCTCCAAAAGAAGAAAATAGCCCTCCAAATGCACGTAATGGTACCCCGTTAAAACAAAAAAAAAGCAATGAACGTCCTCTAACACCATACCCTTGAACACCTGCGCTGGCCCAAACAAAGTGCAAAATTATAATAAACGACACGAGAAAAAGAGAAGAAAGAGCATTTCAAGTATGAAGATCGCCCATCTCAATCTGCCGTCTCCTCTCCTCGCGACTCAAATTCCTCGAATGACTACTTTGCCCGCCCGCACTCTCGGCCCGATGCGCACTCCTGCCTCTCTCCTGCAACTGCATCCATGCCTGCTGCTCGCCAAGGCTGTCCGGCCTACTGTGCCCCCTGCCGCGCTGCCACTCTGAATGCGCTTGCACAGGCGTACCCACGAGTTCCTGACTGTGTAATTCGCGGTCGTGCTGGTCCAGGTCTTCAGGGAGATCAATGTGGAACGTACTGTTTGCGTCGGGACTAGGTCTGGAATCTGATTTGTGGAGTAAAAGCGCCATTTGCTGGTTTACGCGGTCGTCTTCAGTGTAGATGACGGCGGGAGGGTGGTCGGCTGGGCGCATGGCGGTGGGGTACATGTTTGTGACGAAGTTGTTGTAGTAGGATTGTTCGGACCAGAAGTTGGTGCGGGCGTCGGGGTGCTGGCGCGGTGGGGGCTTGTTTGCGGCCCGGAAGGTGATGATGCAGAGGACGGTGTAGGTGAGGGTTGCGATGGCGCTTACAACGGTGCCGGTGGTGGCTGAGAGGCCCCAATGGTAGGCACTGGAGGATAGGAAGTTGTAGGCGATGGAGATGAGGCCGAAGGCTGACGAGGCGAGTGCAGGTCTATGTTGGATGTTGTTAGCTTTGCGCTTACTCGTGGTGGGGTTTCTTTGGGGGTGCTCGCACAGGAAGACGTTTTCGGCTTGGAAGTGTTTATCGCGACAGGCGAAGCAGAGCAGCGCGGTGAATGAGTAGCCGGCTGTCAGCAATGCGACAACGAATACGGAGAGAACAGCCTGGGTGAAGCGCAGCTGTGCGTCTTTTGCGTAGAGCCCGGGCAGTATGAGGTAGCTGCGGCTATGGTTTAGTTTACGGTGGCTCCGTGTATGTAAGATTGTGGTACACACCCTCCAAGAATCATCCACGACGCTGCTATGGCTATCAAGCGCCAGTACCATGGGGGTCTCTCTTTCTCGTCGCGGCCATGGTCGTGAATGGTCACATAGGCGTCGTTGGCAGAGCGCATTGGATCGGTGGACGACGGCGTGGCGGGTGGCCCGGGTCGCGATTCAGGCGGTTGCTGGCGTCTTAGCAGCGGGCGACGGGACGGGACGGAAAGTAAACGAGTGACTGAGGTGAGGCGGATGCCTTTAACCAACGTCCCTGTCGCCGTCGTCGCCCTCAAGCTCGGATGCCTGTGCCTGACCTTCTCGTCTTGAATTCAGCCTGGCGACGTCGTGCAAGTCACTTCGGTCCGTTGAGGTGCAGATGCAGCCGAGGCGCACGGCGCAATGGTTTCCAGCAGGTGGGGGTCACCAACACCACTAGCAGCGAGCCACGGAACAGAGGGAGAGCGGAGAGAGAAAGAAGTGCGGCTTGGGCTTTGCGAATATCGTTGCAAGTTAGGAGAATGGAAGAATGGAAGAATGACCAAAGACGCGGGCTGAACGCTTAGTCGAGGAACATGGAATGGAGCCAACGTGCCGGTACGCTGCATACACTACACGCTCAGCCACTGGCTGTCATCATCGCCCCGTCCACCCACCATGTCGACACTCTCCTCGCCGTGTGCCGCATTGTGGAGAGGCGCCCACCATCTCTTTGTTCGTCCCTTTGTGTGCCAGGCGAGGGCAGCCCCATGTTCCAGATCGCCTCACAGCCAATGCCAGCCTCGTATTCTTGTCTCGCCCTGCCACTTCGCAACCTGTCGACTGCGCCGCAGCCCCCCCCCCCCAATCGGCCATGCGGCTTATTATTCTTACTTGACTCGTATGTTGCACTGCTGACGCCTTGGTGTCTTCGACTTCGTTCCAGTCTTCCAATAGGCACTACCAGTAGTGCCAGCGAATATGACGTCTGATCTTCGTGTCCAGCTCGTCAATTCCGTCATATTGCCTCGAGCCCTAGCATAGCGTTACTCGAGCCCAGCGTTACATGAATACGGCGACGTTGGTGTCACGTGAAAACGCTCTCAGCCCTTGCACAGCCCCTTCCCATCTGTCAAGTACATCTGCCAAGTAGATGCTCTATACCTGTGTAGGCACATCTATCCGAAGACTCCAAGATTGCAGTCTTGGCTTGTAGTTAGTCTCTAAGTTGTAGTCATCAAGTGCGCGTGGTCCAAGCTGGCACGCGAACCAGCTGGGTCCCACATGCGGGGAGACAAGTACCGTCTAGTCTATTACACTAGCAAGCGAAATACTCGGTCACTCTTCTTTCCAACCTGCTCCTGTCTCTGGCCACAGGGGTTTCCAAATATCTGCAAACTGTTCGCTTCCCATTGCAGAGCCTGGTGTTGCTGTTGACTTCCTCAATCCTAACGTCGTTTTGGTGTGTCTCGAGGGTCACGCCTGCATATCCGGCTTCTCCCTATCCATGCAAAAATGCCTTTAAAACCCAGGCCCATCGTTTGGTCGTTGAGTACTAGTACTCTACTTACCCGCAAACATATCAGATCCAGCTTTGCAGGCAGACCAGCTTTAACCGAGGTATGAGTTACTAATATTTGTTGAAAGATGGATTGTGCGAAACTCATCTACAGCAGCGGTGATGAAGACTTGGCGGATGGCGATGGCCGTTGTTTCTTGATCTTCTTCGTCGTTCGAAGGCAATATAAGGATGCAAGGGGCATCTGGCCCGTCATTCTCACGATAGTTAGTGCATTTAAGCATAATTAATAGGCTTTCTAGGTATCGCATTAAGCCGAGGGTCTGGTATATTTGAACCTCAGCGTGATCACCTGCAGAGCGTAGCATCTTAATGTTTAGTTTTCTGATTTCTGGGCATGAATCTCGCAGCTGGATAACCTAGTGTGCTGATAGGATAAAGTCTTCAATACAGAGCACTTGTAGATCGTCGCCGTGGCGTTTAAGTATTACCTTAAAGCCTATGGTTCCGGGCCCAATAATTTCAAGCTCAACCAAAGGATGCAGTAATGCGCAGAGCCGTGCTATTATTAATTTAGCATTAACTCATTCTTCGTACTCACCGAAGATAAATAGTAGACTTAGAGATCTTAAGGGCGAGAGCCTATCTTATTCTGCAACATCAGCCAATTTTTTAAGAACATCTAGCTTTATCTGTCTTTCGAGCTAAAGAGATCGCAGAATGGAGAAATTAGTATGATACTGCTAGGAGGCTAGTGCGAATCCAGAAACCTCGTACGGGGCGCAGATAGCAAGATCCTGAATTTGGCCTTTAGTTTAGGTCATCTCACGCCATTCGCTCCCTAACTGAGGATGAAAACCCCGCCATTAGGGTCGTGTAGTTCTCTGTCGTGTAATTTCTCTAGATAACGTTCTCATGTTTTCTCACATACAGACATGCTTCAGGTTAGGTGCTAGCCCAGCCGACAACTGCAATGTAGCCTCTGCTTTATAGTTTGCGCAATCACTCGCATTATACATAGAGTAGAGAATACTAATATTATACAAGCACGAAGAGACCCCTAGCATTTAATCATCATCACCAACATCTTGAAGGGTATCCCGTTGATGGAGGCCGTGGAAATCGAGTCCATGGACGTGTAGCCGACAAGCCGGCATTTGCTTATTTAAAACAGCAAGACTGCAACAAGGTAGCTTCTCCGTCGACGCCTATATAAGATTTTAGAGGTGTAGACCAGAGATAAAATGCGCAAGGCGTTGCCAGTACTCATCGGGTCGACGCTCATTCCTTAATTTCCACGCTTGAAGGGGAGGTGTCGGATAGAAGTTAGGGGCAAGTTTCGTCCATGAGATATACAAGGCTCTATTCTTGTCATCCCCGCGTTTGTTTTAGTTGTCCGCACCTATCCCGAGCTCTAGAACCCTAATACAGGCATGAGTGTTCATTTGGTTCAATATACATTCCAATCTTTCAATCTTTCAGTCTTTCAGCGAACTCTGCGTCGTCTACATTAATTAACACTCGGGAAAAGCGCCCTCGCCTAGCCGCAGCGCGGCAGACCCCATTAGTCGACGCGAAAGCTAACAAATTGGCCCTGTGCGGCTCACATTGCCCTAGGTATTCACACACTAACTCTAAAACTAATTGTGGCAATGCTTCTATGGTACTTTGGTGTGGCGCAGAATCTTGAAGAAGCTGGGTGTAGAGGATCAGGCAGTAGACTCAAGTAAGTTTGCGGGTTCTATTGTAAATCATGATGGAGAAAAAGAGAATTACGCAAAGTGGCTGCCGTTATACTCCCTCCATACACTCTCGTCTATGTAACCGACCCCAAAGTAAGAGATCACGTGCAAGCCAACTAGAGATAGTTAGCGTCAATGGAGATCCACCGAATGTAGCAGCCTCTGCGTATGGCATATCTTTTTGCATAGTGCGAATGCTGATTCAACGCTTGTGCATCCAACAACGTACATGAATTTCCTCCCTTGCAATCCACGGCCAATTCCGCTTTTTGACAATTCCAAGACCACTCCTTACACATTGTTCGCCTGGTACCGACGCGCCATGTCATTACCTGCCGCCTCTGAGACTAATTCTGAGGTTCTCGGACGGTGTCAAGAGATCTTGGTATAGTAAGAGCCAGGTCCGAAGGAGTATCATGAAATCGAAGACAAGCTTGCATTCATTACCTTACGGCCAGACACAAAATGGGGTTTTGTTGTCGTCCGCAATGTCTATGGCCCATCTAGCGATGCGCCGTAGGCCCAAATACTCCAACTTCTTTGCGCGGAGATATCAGAGACTTTGATAGAGGCAGATTAATCAGAGCTGCTTTCACGTCACGAGATGACCATTATTGAGGATGAAGCAACGCTTGCCGGCGCAGATTCATCTGGCGCAGCACATTTCGCACTTGGGTAGCGGATGATCTGCCCTAATGGCTCCCTGACGACTACCTAGAAGAGTTAGGCGGACCTACACAGGTTCGTGAACAATTGCTTAGTAATACTAATTACTACGTGGGGCATCCTTTGAGCATTATGCCTCCTCGATAGCGATACTGAATATTCGTGGATCAGGATTGCTTACGCTCACTAGAGAGAGGGCCTGAGGAGCCTGAATTGAAAGATCTAGCCTTGAAGATTCTGACTACAGACTAGGACGGCGAAGAAACGGAGGTATCTACTGAAGAATTTACTCGAGACTGGGATAGTGGTAAGACCAATGATGATCATGAAGACGTTGGATGGATGTGGATGGACATGACGGACTATGCTGCCAAGTACAATCAATTAACTTCTGCATTTGGTTGGGAAGAATACTACGAGCGGCCTCAAAAAGGCTACGTGGAGGCTACGAGATCCTTCCGTGACTTGGCATAATTTTGTAGGTCTTGTACGTCATTCAAGGTGGTATTTGGTACAGCCGCCATAAGTGTTAACAATCAATCTGGATTGCAATCCTGTCAATCTGATCCCAAAAATCTGAATCAATCCAATCCAATCCAGAACCCAATTCATTCAAGATAATTTCTGGTTCAGTTTTGGCGACCATTATTGCTATACTTCTTTCTCGTGAGATGTCAAGTGTCGAGGTCAGACGGCACTCTTTGTACCCTGTGGCATGGAGTTTAGTGCCGCTAGGGGCCGATAGTGGATCACCAAAACGGTAATCCCGGGTGACCTAAGGCTGAAATTAGCAAAACATACATGATACACAATGCATGGTAGAAGGGCCAGTTCGATGAATGAAATGAGCTATATACATGTGCAGATCAACGAAAGATAGTGGGAGACTTGCCGCCCAGTTGTGCCTCAACCCGAGTCGTGCAAATTACCGCGGAGGTTGTTTGTATTAAGCATTGCGTGTGTGATGATGGGCGGCAAAAGAGTTTGCCGTCGCACGGCCTTTCGACATGAGAAAGGCAAGAGGCGATTGGTTCATAGCAGACTAGCAGCTAACATGAGCCGGTTACTTGACCATGAGAGGCGAAGACGAAAATGAGCCAGCAAGGATGGAGAAGCCAGTTTTGTCTACCCCTATAGGTAAGAGGTCTGTACTGGCGACATGGCAGCGCGAGGCCCAACTCTTATTGTAAATAGCCCAGCCACTTACAGCGCTAGAGTACCTTCAACTTCGCAAAGACTGTACGTGTCTGATCTCCAATCCTTAATCTCCACTAGATTGCGGCCGATATGAAACACAAAAAAAGTGGACAGCATAATTGAAGGAAACAAGAAACTGCGCTTGTACCTAGAGCTTAAAATAGTATATTTGAATTGCTAACCTCCCCCATTTTACAGCCATGGGCCACCCCCTGTATCTAAAATATGTTGCAATGCTCTGGATAAGAGGATGTTTTCTACTTCTTCATTGTGACTTATATCAGCTCGAAAATCTCTTCAACCACAGGGTCGCTCGCCAATTTCTCCCCCTTCATCCACTTGTCTTTGTAGAAGAAACATGACGCCAGAACCGAATATATCCCTTTCCGTTCCTTCCGTAGGACAAACGGCACACGCCCACCATAAAGAATGACAACATCGTCGCCTGCCTTGACCTTCTCGGAGGTAAGTACGAAGTCGCCATGAGTGGTGCAGTAGAGCTTTCGATTCTCAGTCGGTGGACGTCCTATGGTAAATGTGATGGACCTTGAGCGAAGTTCACGCTCGTCCATATGGGGTAGTAGCGCTTTAAACTTCCCTCGTAGTCTGTCCTTACGCTGTAATGCTGGAAAGCTAGTATGGCTTTTGGCGCGAGCTTGGCTTTCTATGTACAGTTTTTGCAGATCAGCACTCTCGCGCTTTGATACCATAAAAGGCTGTCGACCAGGTTTAATAATCATATAATAACTTAAGTCGGCGGAGGTTGCATCTTGGAGAGGTTGAGGCGCAAGGACATTCTCTATTCGTGCGATGCGTACGCCTTGGAGCGATAGAGAGAAGGGCAAATCGGTAGGCCGCACGATCGCCGGTCTTCCGCCAGATGCATTGTAGACCCCATACTTCGCGGTGAAGCTGTCTTGAAAACGTTCGTCAGATGCAAAGATGTTTGTTACCCACGAGGGGGCTTCCTGCAGCAGGGGATCATCGGGGGTCGTATCTACAGCTAAAAGGTAATCAAGTGGGCTAGCTATTTCCGATGGCGGACCAATATCCAACGCCGATATTACGTCGAAGGTTGCTGTGTCTCGAGAGATAGGATATATCCCATTGGTCGCATCCTTGTAAGATAAATCGTGACTAACAGTCAATGATTTCTCTCTCAAGTTCTTCGATCTAGAACTATGAGCTATGGAGGCACAGTCCGCCGAATTATGTTGCAAGTATGATCTCACATTCTGATTTTGAACATCCCTCTGGAAAGAATGAGAACTACTGGTGTCACCGCCTCTACCATTCTTGTCATCGGGTGATATGGAAACGTGAGACCTCGAAAGCTGCCATCGTCTATAGTTCCCCATGACTAGCGTCAATGGTCTTGTACAGTCAGTATGAAGGAGGGACTCTAGTTTGAATACGTCCGAAGTATCTGACCCGAGCTGAAGGAGCGCGAATAGTCGGTCGCGAGGATCACTCGACTCGAACGCAACGGTCTTGGAAAGGTAGCCCTCGATGGAAAGTCCAGCAGGATCTGTGACACCCAGCGAGCGCCCTGAGAGCACTAACCAGGAATGGTTGAAGAAATCTATATTGTGAAATTGTGTCTTGCGAACAGTAGTCCCGAGTAAGAGCGCAAAAGCCACCAGTTCATTCCACTGCACCTGAGACTGGCCGCTGAAAACCGTGACTCGCCGTGCGCTATTCCGGTCTATTTGAGCCATTACGACTTCCTGAATGACCCAGATTCTGCGAAACCAAGGACGGGAGAAATAGCGGTCTGCACAATCCATGATCAATTTCAGCAATACAAATGGTGCAGGCGTGTCCTTGAATATTCCATGGAGATACTCAGTGGTATCACCAAGAGATTCGAGCGCAAAAAAGTCTATAGTGAGTTGAAGCAGCTTTTCATTCTTCAATGCATTCTCATACCAGCGCGTTGCTTCGAAATCCCACCAGCCAAAATGCGGTCGCTCATCCGCGGTGTTGTCGTCCGAAGCCGGATATCTTTCTACCGAGGATATTTCAGGGACACTGGACGCAAACACTTTCTGGGCCTCGACCATGATATCGCTGTACACGTCCGCCTCTCCTAACCAGACCAGTACCTCCGATGCTGAACTGTAAACCAAGCCCATGGAGCTGACCTGGTGAGTTTTTTCGACAGCATTGTCCTGAGCTATACAAATAGCATCAATCCAAAGAACCCTATGTTTGTCAGGCTGTCGTAGTGCGCGAAGGAGTGCATCAAGGTTTCGTGTTATCTGATATAGTTGCGCCGTCCACGCTTCCTGTGAACTCTTTGCTGTTGCTTCTTTTGTTCTGGCGCATCGAAGGGTGAACCCAAGTGTATCTTTAATTTCGCCCCAACAGTACGAGACCGCTTGGTAGGATATAGCTGGAGCATGGGTTTGCGATCCTCGCAACTCGAGATAACCAAGAAAGCCCGAGAGAGGCGCGTCGCCTTCGCCGGGATCAACAGCAACATAGCGAATCTCGTTGACTTTTGGATCAAGGGGCAGATAGGCGGATGTATTGTTTCTAACCCCTCGGAATGGAAGTGTAACATCGCTTGTTGTGGCACCGAGGCCTCGCTTCTTGGGTGGAGGGCCAGCTGCACGACCTTCCGAAGAGGACCTGCTGCGCTTCATGGTCTTCAAACTTTGAATTGAAAATTTGCTAGTTCATAAAGACTCCAAAAAGATTCGTGACTGCTATGTACTTGGACAATGCCCCTTTTCATAAAAATAAAACAAGATGAAGGTAGTGGCTTGTCTCAGCCTCTTGTCTTGACACGAGCTGATTGGCGGCTCAGCCCGCCTCGCATCTTTCTGTGGATCATGTATATATGTATATGTCAGCGATGTGCACCAATGCACACGCACTTCGCTCAAGCAAATCAAAGCGTTCATATCGAACCGTTACATAGCTGCTTTAACACTGTTAAAGCACTCAATATTAAAGACGTAGTTATGTTCTATGCTGGACAAATAGGAACAATGTTGTTCCGTAATGCCGTCACAGCAATAGATCATTCATAGTAGCGCCCCTCACTACTTAGCGAGAAACACTATACGCACAACACGAATAGAAGAAAGGCTTGCCTGAATTTAATCTGGTTGAGAGCTTTCTCGCGAGTGCGGCCGTAAGCAAAAGAAAAACCCGCTGGCTTAAAGCAAATGTGTACCTGCGCAAAAGTATGTTGATAGCGACTAACTTTTCCTCACCCCATCAAAAAAAATTTTAAACTCTCCAGCGGGGAATTGAACCCCGGTCTCCCGCGATCTGTCAATTGCTTGACAAGCGGAAATACTGACCACTATACTACTGAAGATGGTATTGCTGTTTGATGAATGGAACAAAATTTCTTTATCATATATTCTATTTTAGATTGTAAACTTCACTCATGTGGCAAAGATGCAACTAAAACGTAGGTGCTTTTCGCCCCACAGGGCAACTCAAACTTATCTCAGTGGTACAGTTCAGAGGCATAGTATGTGTGTTGCACGCTTAGGTGCGGTGAAAATTGATCCATATTGTGCTATCTTGAAAGGTGTCTTCTAGTATTTATGTTGTTGTCGGATACGAGTATCAGATACTGGCAACGGAAGCAGCAGATTCCGGGTGCGGACTCGAGCACCCGGATTCTGTGTACAGCCAATCAGAGCACGCCGCTAGGACCACCCCAGCCAAGCTGTAATAGGAGGTGTCTTACCCCACGTGATTAAGTAGTATATCTTATTCAGGAGGCGCGCCACGCGTCTCCACGAGAACAACAAGAAGTCAATCAATATACTCTAATTGTCACAGAGAGTTATCAGCCTACTATCCTGGACAGACCCTCACAATCTGACAGTGGGCATGATGAACTTACAACTTGATTGGTCGAGAGCTCAAATGTGCTTAGTATATGGTGGGCGTGCGGCATAGGATATCACATGTTTTACCAAAAGCGGACGCTCAAAAACCGCCTTCTGTGATATCACAGTGAAGTCACAAGCTAAGTCTGTGTGATCTCAAAAGTGGACCTGCTATAGTACGAAGCTATTCAGTGTTGGTGATTAAACGCTGCGATGCTGCTTTAAGGCGATAGCTACTACTAATACACTAAAGTTCCTAACATGCTATGGATTGAAAAATAAGCTATTTTAAGGCTAATATTTCTAAGAACAGAGACTAGCCCTTAGCTTATAGTAACTAAAAGTAGTAAAATTGATAGACATTAGTAGCCTAAAATGGTAAATTTAACAGATATGTTGACAGACGGCACAGTTATATAGTAGTCAGTATTTCTACTTATCAAGCGATTTGCAATGCGCGGGAGGCTAAGGTCCAATTCTCTGCTGGAGAGCTTTATTTTTTCTTCTTACGGTGGCTTTTTTATGCTTAGGTTAGTGAAGGTATGTGTTACAAGTAACAAGAAGGATTCTCTCCTTGACAAATGACGAGACGGCTGAAAGCCTAGGGACGTCCACGTCAAAAGGTAATGGATCATCGCGGGGCTCGGAGTCACGTGATGTGCCATCTCGCCAAGGCCAGCCATCTGAGATGGCAGGACGCCGAGAGATGGCAGTGCCATCTCTACCATCTCGCCAAGGAGAGATGGGCAAGATGGCAGGACTGGAAGCAATGAGGATATAAGGATGGATGGATTTCATTATTACTCTCGTTGTGGTCAACTCAAATTGTACTTTCTTACTAGTATTGTTACTTCACAAGATAGTTACATGTTAGTCTATCCAATAGATTAGCGTTGTCAAACCCGGTTACATCCATAACTCTTTTCCACTACGAATCGCCAGACAACCTCACGGAGCTCTTCATCCCATCTCACTCGCCCTAACCCGGACCGAGCTTAGAGAAGTATCAGCACCCAACCCGTGTAACACTTTGACCACCCACGGATTCAGTGGAGGATTAACCAATAGCGTCCGATTAAGATTCAGACCATGTCACAGAACTCTAACGAGTATGTCAACATTCCAGGCCCGGTGCCTGACGAGAACGTCAACATGACTGGTCATACCCAGGGAGGTATCAACGAGCCGGCGGCAGGAGCCCCGAGTA